TTGTAAACTAATGAGAGAACATTCTCTTTTTTAAAAAGAATAACAGAGTCCTGCAGAGGTACCATTTGCATGGCACAGGCTGGATTTTTTTTTAGAATTTTTTCGGCCCGGCCCGAGTTTTTTTTAAAATAAATTTTCAGGCCCGGTCCGAATTTTTTTAAAATAAATTATATTTGTTTTTTATTTTAAAGCTAATAATGGCGATTTCAAATATTTGGTTTTATAATATACAGCCCGGCCCAAAAATTTTCAGGCCCAGCCCGTGTGTTTTTTTTTAAAAAAATTCGGGCCCGGCCCGAGTATATTAAAAAAAAATTAAAATACGGTCCCGGGGGTCGGGCCTGTAAGTCTCTGAAAAACATACCTAAGAAATACAACTTCTGAAAGTAGATGGAATGGTTTGGATCTTTTGAATATTCATAGGCATTTAACGCCGCAAGGATGAGATAATTGAAAAATTAGCACAATCCCCGAAGATTGGATTTTACATTACAAATATATAACATACAAAATACAATTATTCTTAAGAAATTTTTGTGTATTAATTTATATTTCCAAAATTTAAATTTTTTATACTTTATATATAAATTTTAAAGTCTCAAAAAATTCAAATTTCTATTTTGGGTCATTTAAGTGATTCATATGGTGGTTATATTCACTTTATATTTTATAATTCACATTTATTTTATAGTTTTTCAATGCCGCCAGTTATATCCGTTCAATATTTTTTAATTCACATTTATTCTATAGTTTTTTATATGCCGATTTATATATATAATTTTTTTATAATTCATATTAATTTAAAATTGTGTATTAAAAATAGTTATTAGTCCTAATAAATTTGTGCTTAATATTTTTAAATAACAATAATATCTCTTAAAAAAATTTATTATCCCCCTCCCCTCCCAGACCAAATTCCTGCGTACGCGCCTGGTTGGAGGGATAGGTGGGGCTGGTGAGTTGATTAAAACCTCCCATTTCATCTTCTCGGCATTAATAAATACGTTCATTTGTTGGCACAAATCTTTTTATTGTTCTCGAGATCGAGATAACATTTTCATTGCCGAAATTTAGGGCACGAAAATGTTGAAATTTTGTGGAATAAATCAATTTCAAATATATCCACCATAATTTTCAGACATCTTGCGCCTAGTTGAGATCTGGGTTTAAGTTAGGATGAGTTAAAAAAACTCAATTTTTTTTATAACACAATAAATCTTTGTGAAGGATGGGATTTAAATCAGCCTCAGAAACTTGATACTGTCCCTCATCTATTTATAATCGATATTTTCGAGACTCGTCAATTCTCCTCTAGAACTGAGGACTTCGTATTTCACTGAATTGATATTGATTCAATTATTTTTAGTCTACTATTTCAACATGCCTCAACACACAAATATAACATATTAGCAACTTTATTAACTAACATAAAGTTAAATATTATATTTTAAAATAGAAAATTGAATAACATACCTGGTTTGATTCATTAAATAACCAAACTTTTGCAATCAATAAAACATTGATATATTTCTGACACTTGAGAATCAATATTTCTATTCTCAAAGTTAATCCTTAATACTGTATTTAATAGATGGATGGCACAATAGGAGTTTATGACTTAATTATTTAATCACATTAGATCCTTGGTTAGTAATGAATGGCATGGCAGACAGAAATATCCTACTTTAGCTAGCTCTATATAAGTAAAATATATTCGATTCTTATAATTATTTTAAATGAAAACAATACCTAATAAGGTAAAATTCCTGATAATTTCTTTTTTATCATCCGTCTTCTTTTCTTCTTCAGACTTGTTTGTAAACAATACAATTTTATTAAGTTTCTACAATTCATTTATAAAATGATAGATGAGAGTTATGTAAGATACTTTCTTTTAATCATCAGTCCATAGGTCATTTGTGGCTACAATAAATTATAAATAATTTAATATATTTTCATATATTACCAGCATACCGACCCTGTTTCATATATATATTTAATGTAGGAAATATTTATTTCTTTATATCATCTGCAGTCTATACCAAATTGCGTGATATCGTGATACGGTGGGGAATGATTCTCAAATATTTTCGTTTCATAAAAAAGCATACGATCAAATCTAATTACATTCATCGCTAATGAACCAACTTTGCACAAAAATAAATAATCTATGGTTTATAATGTCATCACTAAAATATCGTATCGTTCACTGGGGAAACTTACAATTAAACGGATTCCATTTCCCTTTATAGGGCGTCTCCAATGCAGTAAATTATCCACTGATTGGCAGTAATTTACCCTACTGTCAGGGCCCGTTTAATTAAAGAGGACGTTATCTCTTTAAATATTTATTAAAGACTAAGAAATAAGAAAATATTAAAGATTCCGTTTGGAGATTAGTTTATTTGTTTTATTTTGGTTACTTTATTATGAGCAGAGTTGTTAAAGTAGCGCTCTATCTCTTTTAATAGCGATAGTTAATAGCGCGCTACTTTTTTTTTAGCGCGCTCCTTTTTTTGAAGTAGTTAAGTTAATTTTTAAAATATAATGAATGTAACGCTACTTAGCTATATTTTAAAAATATAATGGATTAGTATTAAAATTAATTATAATTTTTTAATTTATTATTTAATATTGAAATTTATATTTTGTAATTTGTAATTTATATTTTCTTTGTATTATGAACCTAAATCATCTGCCTACAAATTTATTTGTTCAAGTAAAAAAAATATATCCTCAAATAAATCTATTAGTTATTACCTCAAAAAACACGTAAGTGTCATTTTTAAATTATAATAGTATTTTTATTTTGTAAGAATGTTCATACCAACAATTTGAAAGAGATAGAAAAACATCTTAATAATTTTGGTTTAGGGGAGATTACATCCAAAAAATCCAATTCAATTCTAGCTAAATTGATTAGTAATATTGCACATGCCAAATTTCTCAGAAACTGGATGATAAAGTTTTTGTCGATCTTATAATTGATACAGTTCAGTCAATGTCATTGGTTGATAATAAAACTACCCCCTGGTACAACAATTTTTTCTCGCCAGACACTAATGATTGAGATAGCAGATAAAGATGCCCTAGTTAGAACCATAAAAACGACTTCCACTGATAATTTTTTTGAAATAAAGGATACTAATATAATGGAAAATCCCTTAAACGCGTTTTTTAAATTTAAAAATACAAATGAGTATTATTTTTCTTATATTAAAAATATGTATATATAATTAAATACTGCCTTGCCCTCTAGTACTAGTGTTGAGAGATTATTTAGTAAGGCAAAACTTACACTTTCTGATCGTCGCTCCTTGGGGATGATATTATAGAAATGATTTTATTATAATGCAACAAAATAATAAAAAAAAATGAATACTACCATATAAATAGTTATTTTTATTACATTAATTATAGTCTTTTTACATAAATATTTTTGTAATCAAAACTATATTTTTATTTATAAATGTTGATATTATAACAAAAAATAAAATAAATTTTTTTTCTAAATTTTTTTTATAAAAAGTAGCCAAAGTTATTTTTAAAAATTAGTAGCTAATAGCGCGCTACTTTTTTTTTGATGGGTAGTGATAGCGGTAGCGCTCTATTTTTAAAATAGGGTTTAACAACTCTGATGATGAGCCTGAATTCTAAAAGCAGAAAAAATATTAAAAGAATAAAAAGAAACCTGTTGATGGTGGTTTTATTAGTTTTGTTTGTATGAAATTTCTTCTCAAATATTTTATCGTTACATAAAAGCAGTCGGCTGCTTTTCTTCTATCACTAATATAATCACAGGAAATAGTTAATTTATTAAATGGATTATGTTATTATAATTGAATTGTGCTAACATGTCATTAGTGTTGTTAAACGGCTCGATTTGAGCCGATTTATAAAACGGCTAACTCAAAATAAAAAAATATTACCTAAGCCTCAAGATTTCGTTAATAGATGTTTTAACCTTTGTGCCATCTATGAGCAAAATCATAAGGCTTGCGTAATATTTTTCTGTATAAAATATTGAGTTCGCCCTTTTTAAAAATCGGCTCAAATTGAGCAGCCCATGGCATTCATTCACTCATTTACATAATTTCTATTTGCCGAATATTAATAGCCTTTATGGGTGTTAGAAGATATATTTTTATTGTGGCAATGTGTGAATAAATATACATTATAATATTTAATTTTTCATTAGAAATTATATTATTTAAACTCAAATTCCAAAAGAATTCAAATCTGGTCGGGCTTGAACAAAAAATTGCTCGGGCCGGGCTCGGAAACAGGTTTTTGAAAAATCGGACTCGAGTCGGGCCGTAAAAAATAACTTTTACAGGGTTCTAAGGAGTTATAAAGAAACTAATGATAAAAATAACGTATATTACAAATGATATCATAGGCATAGTCGGGAGGGGGGAAAAATCCCCTCGAGAAATTTGCCTGCTTTGTAAATATTATTTTAAGTTAATAAAATATATTCCCCTATCCCCCTCTCTTTCAAAAATGTATACAATATTACATCACTATAAAGCAGTAACTTGGAAGAAAAATATAATGCTAGTATTAAATAATATATCTAGAAAAAGGATACATCAAGTTTTCAAAGATTATATTTAGAATATTTGAAGAAAACCTTTATTAATGTCTGATAAGGGGAACTAAAATAAATTTTGCTGCTTTACATCCCAGTGGTAAATTAGTATGTTTGGAAAGAAACAATGGATAAAAAATAAATATAATAATTTCAAAAAAAATTAACATGATTTTTAAAAAAATTGAATTTAATCCACTAGAAATATATTTAATAAAATATGACTACAAAAAGGCCATATACATTGGGTCAAATTAACGAGTGGCTGAAAATAATCTTGAAATTAGTGTGAGTGAAAGAAATAAAAATGATCATTTTCAAGATGTTCCCCATGGACAAGTTAATTTATTTGTGGGTTAGAACATGTTAAAAAAGATAATATATATTTATTTAAATTAAATTATTATAGATTCCCTCTGTCGAAATCCTCTCCTTTTTCATTAGTGCTATCTTTGTCATGGTATATCTTCCGCGTATATTGTGTGTTCCCGTCAAAAATAACAAATGTCACTCTTGTGCGCACATAAGAATATCATCCCACGATAAAGAAGTTATTAAAATGACCTATTCTATTAAATTATTTAGTACACTTTTAAAATTTTAAGATTTATTATGAGTTTTATTCTAAAAAAAAATATTAATTCCAATCAATCTTATATCTATTGCCAAACCCTATATATTATAAATACTTTTGACTTATTCCACTTGTCGCGTATCTTATCTATTCCTATTTACCTGCTTTATAGGTGTTCCATGAAAGTCACACAGATTTATACTTATCTGCTAATTTAGGATCAACCTTATAAATCAAGAAAGCTTTCCTTTTGATGTCACTATAATGAGATACTAATTTTTAAAATTTATTTTGAGACTTTATAATATCTTCTTTTTAATCCAACTAAATAGTGTATAATATTATATTCGAAATAGGTGAGGATTCTGAATCTTTCAATTTTAAATCATTCATGTTTTTTTCAAAAATCTGTAGAGTACCTTCCATATAAATTGGACAGATTTTTAAAAAGTTTTTTTTTTTAGCTTAGTCAGTAATATTTTTAACTCTACTCGAAAAGATTTTTCACTTTGCCCAGCTCGTAATTGCATTATTCAAGGTTTGTTTGAAAAATACTTTAAAAAATTTTTTGATCGGCCCACCCCGAATTTTCAAGATGCCCTATCCGATTAGCCCATGGGTTTCGGGCCGAGCCGGGCATATAATTGGTTTACATTATCATAATCCTTATAATTTATATTTTACTTCAAAGTCTAAAATAGAGTCTCTATCTACGGAATCTAAAAGGAAGAAAAGACAAGTTGACACCCTAGGAGGTTCACTTGTTCCATCGAAAAGATTTTTCCCTTTAAAAGATAGAAAATACAAAATGTACAACAGGAATATTTCGTCCAATATTGTGGAAATTTTGAGTATGTTTTTAAATAAAATATTTTATTTATTTTATTACAATAAATTTCAATCTGAGTTTAAGAAAAGGTTTTAAGGTTTAATTTAATATTTTCTTTAAATATATTTTATAGAGAGTGTATATATATTTTAGTTGATAACTTATTATAATATCTATTTTTGATATATATTTATAGATTCTTAATAATAAAAATTTACTATCATATAATGTTAGAAAAGTGATAGACACGAATAGGGGTGACTGGGGTTAGCTTTTACAAAATTGGCTATAGCTCCTGGTTTTTCTTAGATAATATAAAAAATAATATATGATTAGACACCTAAAACTATACTCTATAAAGGTGCCTTATAAAATTTTAAAAATATATTCATTTTTTTTAAATTTTATTTTTTGTAAAAGTGAAAATTTTTTCCAACAAACCCCAGCGGGGTGAGGCAAACCATTTCAAGGGGCTTCCTAAATCATTGGTTTTTTTAGGCCATAATAAATTGAAATGCATTTTTATTTATTAATAATGATACGTATAGAATAATTTTATTGTTTTATTATTCAAAATATAATAATACTTATAAATTGACGCTAATTATATATAAAAATTAGTGTTGTAAACGAACGCGTTCTGAACACGTTCGTGAACGAAGTTCGTTTTTTTGAAAAAAATGATGAACAGCGTTCCTTTTATTTTTGACGAACTTTGAAGGCGAACGCGCATTTTTTATGACGAACGCGTTCGAATTTAACGTTCGTTCAATTTTAAAATTAATTTTTATTTTTATTTATTTGAAAAATTTAATATTAATCCGAATTTTTTTAAAAAAATATTATTTATATTTTTTAATCGGCTTATTTCCTTTTCATATTTCAATTTTTTTGACACGCCATTATTATAGTTTATTAATTTGAATATTATTGTTTATATTTTAATTTAATAGATTAGCATAAGCATGGATATTGTTATTTAATCCTCATCATCTGATTCTGAAAATCCAAAATCAGATGAATTAACATTATCATGGCCAAATATGATAAATGTTTTACAGTAAAATCCTATATTAGGGAACTAATTCAATGCTTACCAAGTGTAAAATGTGCCCAAAAAGTATTATATCATCAGTGTCAAAATCTTCAAGTTCCAATTTAAAACGACATTTGTTGTAATATTAATTATTTTATTTTATATAATATAACTAAGTAAAATCATTAAATTTGAAGAAAAAATGCATATGGGATATTTGACCGCAACAATAACGATAGTTATTTTAAAATTAAAAAAAAATTAGTGGCCTCAAATATGGTCAACCATTGATAGACGCAGTATTAAATGGGATTAATAAAAGATATTAAACCTATCACTCTCAATTAATTACATATATTTATTTTTTTTAAAGATTTGATATATATTATGAAGATCAATATGTTCTTTCTGCAATTAAACATCCAGTATAGCTTCAATGGCCATGGATATAACTTCCATAGAACGAACCTATTAAAAATAAACTTATATCGTTATTGAAAAATATACTTTGAAAACCCTAAAGAACTGTTAATTTCGAGATATCCTTGTCAGTAGAGAATGTATTGGAGGAGGATAACTTATCTCAATTTTTTGAAGCAAAGGACAAATCAATAAATGTTTTTAATAAATTCCCCACGTTAAAAGAGTTGTTTATTAAGTATATTATCGCAATCCCCTCATCTGCCACTGTAGAAAGGACTTTTATTATAGCTAATGCCGTAATTGCAAAGTGTTCCTGGCTAACAGATGAAAATTTTAAAAAACAATTGTTATTAAAATTTAATATTGAATTTATAATTATTTATCAAAATAAAACTATATTATTTTAACATGGCTAATATATTGTGTTAAAAAATATAATACATTTATTTATTTTAATTAAATTTTTAAAAAAATTTATCATAAAATTTTGAACGATTTTTTTTGAAAGTGAACTTGATCGTGAACGCGTTCGACTTTTGTCAAGAACGTTGAACGCGAACGCGTTCGATTTTTTTAGAAATGTTTACAGCACTAATAAAAATTGAAACTTAATTTTGGTTAATTTAATAAATTTGGACATAAAAAATAAGGATCTTAAGGAGAGATTATGATTTCTTAGCTTAAATCCTAAATACATCTCATAAAACAGCCATGAAATTGCCTTTTTAAGATTTTGAAATTTTTTTCATTATTAACTGCCATAATTTACGTGTATGGTTTAGCAAGCCCCGCTAGCTCTAAATCAAATTATGTTGAAATAATATCTAGATATAATAAATACAACTTTTCCAAATTATAGAAGAATGTTCAAACGTTGCTATAAAATTTAATTTACATATAAATTATTATATATCTTAATAAAAATTATAATTCTGTCATATAAAAATATTTTGAAAATTTCATCAAAATTTTATTTCTTAAACAAAAATTTTTAATAATTAAATATTTCAAAAGATTTTTTGTCTATATGTAAACTAATAAAAACTATATTAGGTAGGATAACATTTTAACCTTTTAGTTTATTTAATTTTAAAATGAGATTAGGTTTGCCAAGCCCCGGGGTTTACCTAACCCCTACCTTACTCTATAATTCATGCATCCTCTTAAGTCAATGTGGAGAAGTTGAGAGTGAGGTGCGTATAGAATGCACCTGAGTGGGTTTTTAGCATGTAAGCCCGCCTATCCAATGTTTTAAAAAATTTAACTCGCCCGCCTAGCCTGCCCATAATTTTCAAAAAAAATATGTCTACCCGCCCATTTAAATAACAAAAATTTAAAATATTTAACCCGTCCGAACTCTCCCACCCACCCCGCCCATAGTTTAAAAATTTTTTAGCCCGCCCGCATGTCGTTTTTGAAAATTTTTTAACCCGCCTACCAATTTAGATGGGCGGGCTGGCCGAAAACCTGCCCAATGCACACCCTAGCGGGTATACCTCTTTTTCCTTTTGAAATTGGAATCAAATTTACAATCCCTTTTTTAAATATTTTCACCCAAATATTTATTTTTAACTTTTAAAGGTAGTTGCCATTTTTATCATTATTGGGCCAAATTTCTATTATTAATTCTCGATAACCTCTAAATCTGTATAGTTAATTACTATATGTTTATATTAAAGATTTGTTCTGAATAATGTATCCTTCCTTAGATGTGATACCCTATTATGATTATTGTTTAAAATCTTATTAACATATTAGTTTTATTTAAACTTAATAACGATAAATGTAGGGATATATAAGGCTCACAATGGAATGATGATCAATTTGGAATAGTGTTGGAAGAAGTGAAATTTATAGGATGGCATTAATATTATCATAGTTCTCTATTTAGGCAAAATCGTATTAGGTTGTTTTATCGATGGATATATCATTCACTAATAATTCGATATCTATTTGTTTGACAATCCTTCCTTAGCTAAGAAAAAGAAAGAATTAGGAGAGACCGGGACTAGTCCCCCTAAGGGTCTTGTCGGTTCAGCGGAATTTATTTTAAAACCAGACCTGTTTTGAAATTCAAATTTAATTATATAATAGCATTGAATATGTATATTTGAGGCTTACCCATTTTTTATTAAAAATTTTTTATAATAAAATGTCTTTTAGGTAAAAATCAAAATGTCTTTTAGGTAAAAATCAAAATGTTTTTACACACAATATTGGCATAAAAATATGAAGTGTTTGAAAATAATAAAATTGCTATTATATGAAATTTAAAACCCTCTTTTTGCATTGAAAGTTTCATAGTTATATATCATGTTTAAATATATTTTTAGAAGATGTTAATTATATTAGTAATTAGGGGCTAGTAGACTCAGAGGTAGTCTGATCAATCAAATTATGCTAACATGTATGATATGTTATAATATATTTATGTATTAATATAAAATAAGTATTAATTGACTACAAATATATATTTAAATCAATTCTATATGATAATGCAACAGAATTAAGAAAAATAAAAAAAATTATTAAAAATTTTACACATTTTTTATAATTTAAATGGATGTCATATTTTGTCATTTTTATATAAATTATATTTATGTATATGGTAAATATTTATATCACATGAAAGTAATAGAATATAAATATTAATTATCTTATGAGAGACTTAATAAAATAATTGAATCTGCAAACCCGGAATTTGGGGCTTGTTGGCGTAAAAAATCACTTTTACTAGAATCAATCTTGAGAAAAAATAATAAAATATTTAAAATTTATCAATGTATATGATTAGCAGACAGAGTTGTTAAAGTATCTAGATATAAAAATGTCGTATCTGTATCTAGATAGATTTTTGATTAAAGTATCTGTATCTAGATATTATTTATGGATATCTGTATCTGTTTTTAGATACTTTAAGATACATTTTGATATACTTTTATTTAATGCTTTTTATAATATAAATAAAAATATTTGAATGCAAAATTATTTCATATGAGCATATAATTTATATGTATATATATTAAAAAATATTAAGACTACTATAATGAAAAATTACATATATATAAAATATTAAAACTTATATATAAAAAAATATATTTATAAATATTCATTAAATATTATGTCCGAGTTTATCAATAACCCAGACAAATTTTGATATTACAATGCAACTTAAGGAATCTGCCATTTTTATTTACAATAGAATTGGTTAATTTTATTTTCAATAGAATTGGTTAATTTTATTTTATTATACTAATTTTTAAAATTTATTTTAGATTAATATTAATAGTAATGAAGAGTAAGAAGTAATAATCAATGAAGCATCAAGTTCAGTAGTATTTCCATAGCCAATTTATAGAGTATATTTTAAAATAATGTCTCAAAATAAAGAAAACAAATCTCTGATAATAAAATGTTTGCCATATCTACCAAAAAATACGAAAATTTCAGTTAGCATTACCTCTTTGCAACATTGTAAAACATTTAAGGGTATAGATACTAAATAAATGTTTACAATTGTAATTTTAAATTTTAAGAGAAAAAATCAAACACTGTTAATAAAAAAAAACAATTAATACAAAGATTAGTTGATGAATTATCAAGGTCTTCAACTGAATGCAAACAAATAACCTGTGAGAAAAAAAAACTATTTAATATCCGATTTTTTCAGTACCCCACAGCAGTAGACATGATTGTTAATGATGATTTAAATTTTGATACTCAACAAATTTTAAATAATTTTTTCAAAAAAGTATGTCGGATTTTAGTATTTTTTATCCTGATATAAAATTGTTATTCGTAAAATTATACATCCCAATCCCTTCAAGCGCCTTGGTAGAAAGACTTAGTGTAGCTAAAAATGTCTTTTAGATAAACGAGGATGCCTTAATGCAAAATTTTGAAAATATTTATTACTGAAATCTAATAATTATTTATAACCATTTAATCATTATTTATATATTATATGATTATATTAAAATCTAAAAATCATTATTTTAGTTTTATTTGATAAATGTAATATCGAGTCAATAAATTTTTTAGCTCATTTCATGTATTTTCACAATAGAATCCTAATTTACGATTATGCAAAGCTTATATAAGAGTATAATAAAAATTGTATGTGTATCAAGATAACTTTTTAGGCGATGTATCTGGATCTAGATAACTTTTTAGCCAATGTATCTATCTAGATCCATTTTAAAAGTATCTTTTAATAACTCTGATTTTCAGACCTATGATGATTTTGACAAAAATTACACATACTAGCCCTGGCCCTATTTATTGGATTGGGAAATAATGAAGAATAGAAATTAAGCTCTTTTTTTCGAAACCTAAGTGTGACAGGAACGGAAAGAAGTCCTTGTTCCATTTCCAGGTCCATGAAAAATATGAATTTTATAGTTTATATTTTACCACATTTTTTACACGTTCGAATATCTGACTTAATTAAGTGTTTTTTTTTTGAAATTTATGTCACATTATATTTTATTGTTGAAAAATATAATCATCCACCCCATCTTATTTTTTTTGATCCGAAGTTATGGGATTTAGTCATGTTCTAATTAAAGATGGCACCATATTTAAACAAAATTATTTAAAGTCCCATATATCAAAATTCTAAATGGAGTAAATATTATTCTATATTCTATATTTTTTTTAAAAAAAAAATTATCATCTAGCTAACCCTTCAATTATAAATTCCATAGGAAAACTCGCTCCATTCACAGATGATGTTAGTTTTAGTAAAATCCCAATAATTGCTCATGTATCCATTGATTCCCTTCCTGAATATAACAGATCTTTATTATTTTTTAATAAGAACGGCGGAGTGGATGATATCGAAATAAACAATTCTGTGAAATTAATGGCAGCATCCTAGAATGCCAAAAAGTTGCCTAAATATAATTATAGAAATATTGCCGTGATATTTTTACTCACAATTATAAAGAGTTTAGTATATAATATGAAATAAATTAAATATTTCAGTTTATTATAATTTTTTTTTAAATTATAAATATATTTTTTTCCCACATAAATAAATAATGTAAATCATATGTTTTTGATATTAAATCTTTTTTTAACCTTCTATAACTTTAATTAACCGCAGGAATCGGAATCGCTAATTCGTTTATAATCATATCATATCATAAATATAAGAATATTATATATTTAATTACTTATCTTTTTTAGAGACGATATCTTTTTTTCCATATTATTAATATGCAATTACTTTTATAATAAATATATACAAAATGTTGCAAGTTGTCTGACATTAACCTAAAAAAGTCTCTTAAAATTGGTTCCACGTCAATTCGGCACAGCATCAATTCAGTGCGGCAACAATTCGGTGGGTCTCATACAGTTGCAATTTATTATAATATTCGTATAAAACAAAAGGATCATTAAATAGAAGTCATGCTGAGGGTTCTAATATATTTTTCATTTTTTTTTACAAAAATCTGAATTTTATTTACTAATGTCAATAAAATATTTAATAATAACAAAAAAAAATTAATTAAATAAACAAATATTTATACCGAGATTTCTTTGGTGGACAAATTTACCATATTAATAAGATATGTTGATCCAAAAAAAATCAAATTATTTAAATCAGGGTTTCAAACCGTTAAGTATAGCGGTTCGTTTCAGTTTTTAGTTAAAAATTTTATAAAGGTTTTTTCCATTTCGGTTTTTTTTTGAAGAAATTTATATCAGTTAAATTTGGCTTAGAATTTATAACAGTTCTTTTCGGTTGGTACCAGTTTTTATAAATTTGATTTTTAAAAATAATTAATCATAAATCATATATATTTTAATCTTAGAGAAAAATCTTTTCAATCAGTAAATATTCAAATAAAGTAACCCATGACCGGAAATAAAACAATTTATATTTTTATAATTCCTTATTTACTTAACCATGAAGATTTTTCTAGTCTAATTAACTAGAGTATATAAAGTAAGAACATAAACTTGGTTTAGATTTATATGAAGATAATAGCGATTTAAGTATTAAAAATCCTGATTTGAAAAGGAATCACGAATTTAAATTGCCCCCAAGAAAAATGAATATTTCAAATTTAAGTTAATAATTTAAAATTAGTTATTTTTAAAAACCATTATGAACCGGGTAAATTGGTTCAAAAATTACAGTTCGGTTCACTCTTTTTATATTTTCGTTATAACGGTTCGGTTACAGTTCAGAAAATTATAAATGTTCGTTCCGGTTCGCGGTTCGGTTCGAAACCCTGATTTAAACATAATATTTAAATTTTAATATGATTAATAAAATAATTTTAAGGATTTTTATAAATTTATAAAATGAAATATTTTTAACTCAATAATTATTTTCCAAATTAATACAATTGATAGATATGATTGGAAAATGCCAATAGCATGACACTTCCCTTTTGTTAATCCCTTATCAATAATTCTAAAAAATAATTTGAATTTTTTTGAATCAACATTATTGTTTTTAAAAACGACCGATTAATATTTTAGCCAAAATAATATTTAAGATTCGAGTTAGAGGTTCATATCTTTTTGCCATCCATGCGCAAAATTTTAATAACACTAATCAACATACCTTATAACATAATAAATTGGTCTATCAAAGAATTCAGAGTATAAATATTGGTTTATTAATTTTTGATGTTATTAAATTTTTTTTGATATTACACAATTAGTAAAAATTGAGATTTTTGTAAAAAAAAATAGAAATAATTAATAGGACCAACCTTTAAAATGATTTTTATTTAATCATCCTTTTGTTTTATACAAATAGATTTATAATAAATTGCAACTGTATTAGATATGCGCCGAATTTTCCCCGCCGAATTGAGTGATATCCTTAAAATCAAAACTTTTATAAACGTTATTTATTTTTTTTACCTTGGGGAGTATGAAAGTGTTTCTAATAAGAGATCAGCATAGTCAATATATTTGGCTAAGAGTTTAGCTGGCCGTGCCAGGAAACTTACTTTTTTTATCGGTTATAACTTGTTTTTTTAGTACAATGGAATAGAATAAAAAAAATTGCCAGCAAAATAATTTAATTACTCTACCTATCAAATTTATTTACCTAGATCCAACATTTTAAGTTATAATAAAAAATATAATCCAAAAAATGAAACATGGGTTATTTATTATTTGTATATTGCATCTTAAAAAAATGAAAAACTAAATATTTTAGCTTCATATGACTAATTATATGTAACTTACCATTCATCAGATAAGGTAACTAGTATCTCTTTAGAAATTTTTTCTCGTTAAAAGAGATATAACTATATTTGTTTATTTATATTTTTAAATGATGTGAAAATTTTGGACCGTTATTTTTATCTAATTATCTGTTATTATTATTCTATTTGGGCGTATTTAAAGATTATCAGTATATATTGGCCTGCAACACAAAGAACTCTCCAAAGATAAATCCTCATTTTAAATTAAATGGATAAAAAAAATATTTAATTAATAATATAATTTAAAAAATCAAAATAAAGAATACAAATGAAATATTACTAGAAATCTAGACGCACTCTCAAGATCTCTTCTTATGCCTATTTCACCTATCATTTGTAATAAATCTAATTTTTTACGATTATGGCTAGTCCAACAAATTATAAATTAGAATAAAAATAAAATAATTAAAAACACCTCATTAATTAGTTTAACCAAAATATACAGGAAAAAATTTAAATTTTTTTAAAACGATTAAAGTTTATAATTATTAAACGAAAGATATCTGAAAATTTAAATCTTAAGGTTTGTCGCCTTAGATATGACGGACTAGGTGGGACATGTTTCACAAAAAAACTGGCAAAACTGTCTTTGCTAAAATACAATTAAAGTCTATGGAATATAACTAATTTTAATATTCATATTTCTTGATTTATAAATAAATAAAATTTGACTTTTGTTATGTATAATTGTAATGTAATTAATAAAACTATACAATATTAATAATTATTGAAGGCATTATATATATATAAATTTTGGTAATAGTTTCGAATTTTAGTTGATATCTTAAAATTCACCAAACTCCTTTGAGCATTTGTCTTCCGAGGCTATATTTATAGGCTCTTCGTCATAATCGTCAAAATTGCTGGCATCACCAGGACCTTTGATTTTTGGGATAAACGGAGCTTCGATCTACCGAATTTATATGATCAAAAAGATATTTTTTAGAACAAATAGTAACAATTATCCTAAGGGGAATGATTATATTTATATCAGGCAAATTTGTATTTTAGTTGCAACTAAAGATGACGCTAATATCAGGAAATATGTATTTAGACCAGAGTTTAGAACGGGATTCAGAACCCTTGAAATTGGGACAAATCTAGGAACTGGAACTATAATCCTTTTTAAAAATATTTAGCCACCAGAACCCATTATATAATTTTCAGGAATTAGCTCAAATAAAAGTGTAAGTAATTTGTATATATTGTTTAAAATTATTCGAAATGCACTATATGGAGCGAGCTAATATTCCGTCGCAGTTCTTGGGAGATTTTTAATAGATTGAAAACACGACCGAATGGATATACACACATTCCCTGGGATAAAGGAAAACATATGTACACTGGGATTTCACATTTAAAAGATGTAGTGAATCTATAATGATCTGGTCGAAGGGGAAGGGGAGCAGGTCTATTAAAATAAATATGTCCCATAAAATAGCTCCTGAATAAAATGTGGTTTTAAGTTTAAAAAATAAGAAGTAAACATTTTTAAGCATAATTCATATTTAGTTTAAATATTAAGATTTCATATTTGGACTTGAAAAGTCAGCTCAATATGGATTGTTGTAAATATATATCAAGAATATTCCAAATATTAAATTATCTAGTTTAAGCAACAACAAATGACCCGATTAGTAATGATTTTCAGCGATTTAAAGGCAATGTGTTCAACCTGACATTTTTAAAGAATAGTCCATATATTTCTATTTATTCCACTAGTCATAGTCACCAATACTTTTCGAATTTTTGGTAAATTAAACTAAATCCTAAACTACACATTATTGATAATAAATTAAAGTAAAGAATATGAAAATTTTTGATACATTAGTCATACTTTGCGAAGGAATATATTGAGCCAATCCATAGCGTGGAACCATTTGTGGCATTTTATATCACAGATGCCATTTTTCATATTCCCATAACGCTTCGTTATGTCTACCTGGAGAAGATTTTTGATTATGTCTTTTAAATCCGAACTAAAATGTGATGGCATTTTTACCTAAAACAAAATTAAGAGATAGTAGTATCATTGTTATCATTACCTTTTAGATATAAATTAGTTTAACATTTTAAATGAAACAATTAAGTAAATTGCAAAAGAGAATTTTATACTTGATATATTATATTATGTAATAATCAAGTATTCATATCATTAAATTAATCTTACTTTACCAGCTACAATCTTTTCATATATTTGAATGGGTTGATCAGCGAAAAACGGCGGAAATCCGGCTACCATTTCATACAATAGAACTCCCAAAGCCCACCAGTCTACAGATTTGTTGTAACCCTTTTATCATTTCGAATTTTTATATAAATATTTTTAAAATCTAAATTCCATTCGTATAATCCATATTGTATAAATATAATCAGATTACGACTTATGAAGGAATTTGTTACCCTTTTCCAAAGGTGAGTCTCTGTTAAAAAATGATAGATAAAGGTGCCGATATTAAAAGGGACCGAATTGAATATCAATTGCAAAAATCAATGAATCAAAAATAGTCTTTATCAATGGGGACGGCAGGAGGAGTGCAGCTCGTTTCCTTTTAAATTTGCTCAGTTGTAAACTAGACGATTTTATTACTCCTACACAACATTTTTATCTTTTTATCTGATTTTAAAAAATCGCAAGTTTTCCAAATGTGAAACTAAACAAGCTTGCCGAACAGTAGTTACCCAATTTAAGATTAATAATAGTTAATAGTTGATTGGAACTCAAAATTTTGTCGAATTAGGGAATTTCGCAAATCAAGGAAAATTCTATTCAATAAATGCACCTCAAAAAAAGATTTGAATACAAATACACATTTCAAAAGAATATGCATTAATTTTAATACAGGAGATGATGTTATTTTTTTTCTGCTCAAGTAAACCTAAAATTATTGTTATTGTTTGAAAAATAACACCGGGACTGACTGGCGATCTACGGCCTATTGGGCAAATGATTTCAAGCGGCCTCATTTTTATGGGGCATCGCCCCCATATCCCTATTTGCGGGCCTTGAATCCGCATTTACCAGGCCTTCGGCCGGGATCTCTTCAATGGTTTATTCATATTATACATGCTTTTATTATTTCTTATATTTTTGGAAAAAAGTGTCTAAAACGATGGTTTAACACAATATTACAGTTTCAAAAATATTCATATTAAATGATAATTCCATATTTTATTATAAGAATTGCACTTAATCATATTAATTGAACATATAAAAGTATTACATACTGATTATAAAATCTTCAAAATTTAAATTATAAATAAAACGAATATTATATAATTTTTAAGCTAACAAATCTAGCATTAACTTAACTTTGTGGCAAATAGTGTTATTAAACGGCTCGATATGAGCCCATCCAGAATAATATTATGCAAGCCTGAAGATTTTGCTCATAGATGGCACAAAGGTCTAGGCATCTATTAGCTAAATCTTGAAGCTTAGGCATTATTTTTATGGGCAAAATATTGAGTTAGCCGTTTTTAAAAATCGGCTCAAAACAAGCCGTTTAACAACACTAGTGGCAAATAAACATATATTCGAGTTATATTTGCATCAACACTTCTTTTTTAAACAGACATCAAATTACTCCAATTAATTAGATAATGTATACCGCTGTGTGCGCAGAGTTATGCAGGAAGTTACAAATAGCGTTACGTTACATAACAAATTCCCCATTTCAAAAAAATAACGAAGAGCTTCTGTAACCATTATATTTGTTTGTGTAACTAGTAACGTGATTTTCGTTACTTTTAAAACATTTTTACTATTTTTTTTAAACAAAAGTGATTTTTAACGTTAAAATGGAATGTCTAATTGTATTGGTTAATAGAAAACAAGGGAATTCAATAGAACTGCCAATAGAATTTCTTCAATTTCAGTCTTTTCATTGTGGAATTTAATTATATATCGTTTTTATTTTTTTAAACAATGACAGTCAAAAAGTAATAATTACAGCAAATGAGGATGACGATAGTATTTTAGTAAAAATTTTGTACGATTATGGAAAACAGATTATTTAAAGTTTCATTTAAAAAAATTATCACTTTTTTTATTATAACATCTTATTAATTTACAAGATAGAACTCTTAAAATTGATTTTTTTTATTTTAACAGTTTGTAGTACAAATATAAATTGAAAGAATCCTATATCTCGATCTATCATTTGAAATAAATATATAGCATGAATATCCAATATTATAAATATTTATTGATTACAATACATATTTACCAATCCCGTATAGCCCTTTTGATTTGCAAATTTGGAAGGTCATACAGGAGACAAAAATTATTAAAATTGATCGAATGAATGCTTTAAATTCATAATCATTAATTTTTGTTAAATTAGACAATAAAATATTAATAAATGTTTTCGTTTCTTTATTATACACAATAAAGTTCATAATCTCATTTTTCTATTTTCATTTATTCCTATTTTTAATCATATACTGTAGACTTTTTTGTCACTGTTACTTGTTCTAAATAAAGATAACTGTTAGCTTTTTTTGAAGAGACTATGGTAGCTTAACCGTTATATTTCATAAAGGTAACCTTAACTTTTATTAAATAGCTTGACAAACTCTTGTGTGCATATCGTAGCATCAAAGAATCTCAGAGATGCATATTAGGCATTCATTACTTGGATAGAGTTACTATTATCTTGTAATATTACACCGTTTATTAGACTCCTCACTATCACAAATTATATCATAAATATATTTATTAACCTGTCTATTAAACCTTTGTAAATACGCACAAATAATAGTCGTTATCATCCACATTTTAAAGGTTTAAAAACAATTTAATAACTTCTATACGGTCCCAATCCTCCCCTTTCAGATCCAAAACAACCCAAATCACACTTTTTAACAACACCAACTTTATCTCCTATTTATGTGTTATGGCTATTAATGGGGAGAGTGGTATTTTGATTTAACATGTTCCATTTATGTTTATTATTATATTTTTTCATACTCATGATCTTCATATCGTATAAAGTATGAGTTTGCTTATTTTATTTTATTTTTTTACACAAATGGTGTCATAATTTGGCACTGAATACATTTTCTAATTGTGAAACTTTCTTCAAGGCCAGAAATACTTTAGATATATTTAATCAAAATAAAAAATTTAGAGAATAGTAATAAAACAATTTGCAAATATTGTACATTCGTTAAAAGCTTTTTATTCAGCGAAAATTTAATGGTCGTTAAACTATTTATAATTTGATCATTATAGGACGAAATGCTTTATAGAGATTAATCGAATCTTCGAGGGTTCATCATTGCATATATTTGCATCCTCCATGTTAGACTTATTCGAGTTTAACACTTCATTTTTTATCAGGATATTATCCGGCAGCTTTAAATCAGGAATATTTTTATTTAAATTTGTAACCATTTTTATAGCTTTATTTCGAAAAGTGAAAGTTATTAAAGCTACAGAAGACTTGACATCTTCAATCATTTTCCAAGCTCATAAATTTTCTAGTTTTTTAGCTGGATGATAGAATGAGTGCCCCATTATTTCAAAAAAATCAAAGCGGATTTCGAATTCTCAGTTAAAGATTTAGCTACTGATAAGGTTGTTTTGCCTTATAGGGATCGAGAGGAGTAAGCTCTCTTAATCATATAATTATCTAAGGTTTTTTTCACGTGCCCACCAGTGAAAAAAACTTAGCTACCTTCTTTAGCCAGATAAATCATTTTCGCCAAGATCAGATGCTGTCTAGTACTATATATTTGCAGACTAATCGTTTGCTACCTAGCTCCCTTTTATAATATTAAATTCCTAATTTTACCTATAACAGCATTAATAACTTAATTAAAACTTGACTTTCAGTTATAGACAAGCATTTTTTTTTTAAATAAACCCAAGCAATAGCAATAAATGATAATCCTTATAAAATGTATTAATATGATATTCTAAAATGTTATAAAAAAAATATGATAGCTTTTAATATATAAAATATATGAATATGATAAGAGAAAAGCCATACCTTATATGATAAAAAGAAATAATATATATTTTATATATTTTTTCTGACCGCCCTCTTTTTTCCATTCAATATTGATTGGTCAACAAAATAAACATTTTCTCGCGGCCTCATAGGCAAAATGCCCACTTGGTCTTATGGCCAGTCCGCCCCTGAATAACCCTACGATATTTCTTGCCTTGTATAGAAAAAAACTGATCATCAAAAAATATTTAATTTATTGTCCAAAATTTTTGTTATTTTTGAAATTATAATAAATATAAAATATACTTTTAATATTTTTAGTATTTTAAATATTAATACAATGCTCTCTAAAAAAAAAATTTTATTTATGTAAAATCTATTATAATAATTATTTATAATTGTGTTGCTATAATATAAATAATTGAGTGAATATATTAAATTATGATATAAATTATTAATTATAAATTTACGGGAAAATTCAATTTAACAAATATGTATATGGAAAAAGAAAAATATTTTTATATATCAGAATCGCGAATATAAATGGAAAAAAAGGTAGGAAAAAAAAATTCTAAACAGTGAAGGGAAGGGGAAAAGAATCTAAACCATTCCAGCTGCTCGGGAAATGAACCCATGAAACATATCAAATTAGTTTTGACGTAAGTAGACATCTTCTTTTGGGTCTCCTGATTTAATCCTTATGGCTCTGCCAAGCTATTTAATTAGGTTAAGAGCCTCACTTCCAAAGGATGTTAAGGCTATAATGATAACTGGTAAAAATTAATACTCATCAGGAATATCCACATATTTGTTCGTTTTAAAATATTCTGCGTATTTTAAGATGTCCTTATTGATGTTGGAGGCTGAGAGGTGGTCAACGCAGGAGAAATCCTAGGCTAGAAATCGGCCATTCTCTCACGGAATTTGTGTAATTCTATCGGGCCGTCTCCCATCAGTGAAGAGACCTGGGGGTTCTAAAGTGGCAGGAAAGTCAGGGGACTGTAAGGCCTGTTTTATGAGAGAATTGCAACTGACATTCCGGATTGAACTTCCAATATGAGACTGATGCTGTTACATTTAAGCGAATAGCCACTGCAAGCTGTACTTGGTTTGACTGCTCGAGGTCAAAATTTTTAGTAAAAATGGCGTATAGGTATTCATATCCATAACTTTGGTTGCGAGAGGCTAATAAGGCATGATCTTCAGATAGCAGGGTCGAAAAGAAGTAATTAATGGGCCTTTCACATCCTAATTACTCTAATCCTTTTGTTTATGGGAGACTAGGAGTGACATTCATCCCCGACTGAGGTTTTCCATGTATGGCTTCGTCAAGCAGCTTTTCTGGCAGGGATAGGTAATCAGTTATTATTTTGAAACTTGCCAATCTGGACGAGATAAAACCATTGATTGATAAGGCTATGGGTGATCGTAGCCCTATAACTCATTTATTGCAGGGGAAAGTGGCTTCACTAATTGGAATTAAACTTGAAATTAGGTATTTTTCCATAATGTTTTTTATTATGGATTCATATGTTATTAAAGGTTCAGGATATTTAAAAAAGCCGTTGACCGCAAGGCATAGAGGACTTCGGTATATTGAAGAAACTTTTAATTAAAAAGAAAGATTTATGTGTGGGAAGCTGTATGAGTAACTCCTCAATGCTGTTTAAATTATTAGAAGTAGCTTGGAAAAAGGCTTCAACTGCTAAGTAACCACCAACTGCTGAACTAAGATGTGGTAGCCCCTCGGCCTTAACACGTAAAAGTTGGGAGATTGAGAAGTACTGGGAGAATTCTGTTTTGTCAACGTTTAGGAGAAGGTTGTTCGGCCCATCAGTTTGTAAAATTTTTAAAGCTTGGCTAACTCTTCTGGATTGCTGCGTATAATCCTGTCATCTAGATATAACAGGCAGCTGCTTTTAATTTTTTTACTAGATTGTCTATTCCTAGACAGAATAAGATTGAGATTAGGGGATCACCTGGTTGAATTCTGAAGAAGAAAGCTTATATTCCCCATATTGTAGGATGGAAGTAGTCACATATCAATTTAAAATAAAGCTGGTTTAGCATGGGATGTTATTAATGAAGTTTGAAAGTTAATGGGAGCCAGCGTGCCAGTTGAAGTTCCACTTTTATATCTAAATTATCTATTTTTTTCCTCACTAAATTTACCTTTATCTTAAAAGGATTTGTTGTGTCCATTGAAATGTTGTCCAAATCCTCTAATCTGTTTTCCTCACTAAATTTACCTTTATCTTAAAAGGATTTATAGATATATTCAGTGTGGAGGTTGTGTCCATTGAAATGTTGTCCAAATCCTCTAATCTGTTCTTATTTGTTGGGTGAACAGTTTTCTTTTGTCAGTTGGAACTTGAAAGGCATAGAAGCCAAATAAAAAGAACTTTTTCCAGTGCTGGAGTTAAAATTAATTAGAAGGTTATTAATAGTTTTATATGATTTAGCAGCAAGAGGCCTGGCTCCCCGGGAGATTCTTGAGAAAATATGTGATTTAGATAAGTTTGTAAATTCATAGGAGGAGGGTTATGGTAACACATTGGAAGTACAGAGTGATGCCTCATTAACAGATAAATTATTGATTGTGGTGATAGCTGGGATATGCAATAGGGATATTATTGCTAAATGTAATAGAGAAAATGGAAGGTGAATATAATCTGTGAAAGGTGACTGATGTGATAAATAATACCAATTACCACTTTTACCGTATGTCCATAGGGTCCCGTTTTTGTTAATTAAGGTATGTAGCCCACTGTTTGGAAATTTTTTTCTAATTGGGATAGATGTAGAAGAGGACATTTATATTTATGGAGGGAGAGGACAAAGTTTTTTAAAAAAGATTTCGAAATAAAACCGTTGAAAATTATCGTTAATTATTTATTTTATTTTAATTAAATGGACTTTAAGAGAATGCTATTTAAATATTTTAATATAAATTTATTTTTAAAAAAACTAAATGCATATTCGCGATATGCCAACCCTCTATTTTTTTGTTTATTTTTTTTTCTAGTTAAATTATCTTCAATATCAAATTGACTGAAACCTCAAAAATCCTATAAATCATATTTTTTCTGTGTAAAATTGCAAGCATTTTAAATAGACTATTTATTTCAATTTTAGTCGTGTTTTAGTATATAAAATAAAAAATAACCCAAAATTTCATAATTGTCTGAAATTTATATAGGTATTTTACATAATATACTAGAATCGGATCTAAGCAAAAAAATTTTAAATTCTGTAATTATTTAGATGAAGTCTCTGTATCTTGTCATTTAGCCCTGCTTAAAGGGTTCCATTTTATTTATTAGGAATGATGCTCAATAAACTTAAGTGCTTTGTTATTAAATACAAAAAAAAACATTTCATTATCCTAAAACTTTGCTCAGGATTATTTCTGGAGCCAGATATTCGGGGGTTCCACATAAAGTCCATGTCCGTCCCTTGACACGCTTAGCGAAACCAAAGTCGGTTATCTATTTTGAAATAATTTATATAAATATTATCTCTTTATATATTATTTATTGAATAATAAACCAAGAAAAATACTGATTTCATAATCTAAAACGCAATTAGAGATATAAATTAAATATAGTACATGTTATATAAGATATGAAAATGATAACATAATTATCATTATAATATGAAATATTTTTTACTTTTAAGTAACCCGTGTTACATATTAATAAGTTTTCGGGTTTTAGGTCGCGATAAACAATATCTAAAGAATGTAGGTATTCGAATGATAATATAATCTGCGAGCCATAAAATTTGGCGTGGGCTTCACTTTTAATTTATAATAATTTAAATATATTATATTATATTTTATTATATATTTTGACGAGAAATAGTAGTCTGGCAAGAACCCAGAATAAAAGATCACTTAATTTTCGTTGAACATGTTTTTTATTTTGAGAATAGATTAATCTATTGAGTTATAAATTTATGGACTAAAAAAATTTAATATGATTAGTCTAACTCCAAAACTTATTTAACTGACATATAGGGATATGGCGAACATTGATTATCTTAGATTTTTCTGAAAAAAAAACCATTAACATTACATTATACAGAAGTATTTATAAATATGTGCTCAAAATCATAATAATAATTTTTTTAAAAATGATTTTCAACACACCTAAAGCGATTTAGTTTACGAAGATGAAGAAACATTTCACCACCAGGAACGTATTCTAAGACCATGTATATGTTTGAGTTATCCTTTTTTTAAAAAAAAATATTTATAAAAGAATTTAGTGTGTATATATATATATACTTTGAAAAATTAATAATTGTCAGTATTAAGTAAGATAGGTGATATAAAATTTTTAAAAATAGTAAATTCATAATTTCATCTATATTAATAATCAAAATCAATGAATATAAAGAAGGATTCTTTATTCTTCAATAAAATCAAAATATATTTCCACGAATTATATTCCGTATTTATGATGCTCATATTTGATAATTTCATTATTTAGATAATACTTAATTAATAATTGGACATTTTAGAAGATTTAAAGCCTTACTCCTGGAATTTAAGGTCTATATTTTGTATTATATGGGGGAAACGGCTTATTTGTAAAAAAACGAGCTATTTTTCTTATATTTGCGGTCACTCACTGTTACATCTGAATATTTATTATTGTAAAGGTTAAGATATATTTTAAAAGGTCACGTTATATATTTTAAAAGGACGTTATTTGTATATTATATCAAATTGCATATTATAAGAAGTTAAATTGGACAATTATATAAATGTATATATACCAAAAGAATTACAAATAAAATTCATTATCGTTTTTTAAACTTTAATCGATTTAATACTCACCAGATTATTATAAATAAATTCGTTTCCTTTCCTTAAATTCACATATAATCGTGTTAACCATCTCGAAGCATAAAGAATGAAATGTTTAGTTAGTTTATTAAATAGAAATAACACGCTTTGTTAAACGCATAATGTATAGGATGGTGATCAAATTAACGATGCTTTTGACGATAAAAATATGTGGGTTTAGTAGGTGGTAAAATTAACTTTATTTTTAATATTAAATAATTTATAACCTTGTTCAGTTTAGGTTTGAAAAAAAAATAAATAATATTAATGAATAATTTATAAGCCAAATTTTTTTTAAGTTTGCAAATCATTAATACAATAATATATATTCTGAAATTTAAATTTTACTTCTAAAGAAATAATTTATATATTATATTTCTAATATTGCCTGAGAAAAGAGAAGCAAAGCAAAAGAAAAATTTCATCTATTTTCAAATATTGATATAAAATTAATATTTTCTGATTATTCTATCTAAATACCATCATGACTGATTTAACTGATAGTTTAATAAATTAGCAGAAATAAAAGAAACATCAATGGGAGGTGGGGGGAGTTGATCCATTTTAGTTACTCAGTCTATATTAGACCGAAATTACTTGATACAATTTCTCAAGATGGATAAATGTAATAACATTTTCAGAATATGAATTATATTTATTAAGTAATTTAGATGTTCAAATCAAACCGTGAAACAGGTAAAAATCATTCATATTCACCGAACTCAAACTGAACCGTTAAAAATTTAAAGATCTGAACCTCAGGATTTTTATATCTAAGCCTAGAGTTGGCAAATAGAGGTTCAAACCTTTCTGCCACCTATGAACAAAATCTCCAGGCTTACATAACATTATTTTGCTTAAAATATTATTCGGGTCGTTTTTAAAAATCGTCCCGAATCGGGCTTTTTAACAACATAGCAAAAGTTACCCAAGTTAGCATATACAAGTATTTTCATCTATAAAATTTACTATTTTTCTTTGTATAGGTAAAATTTGACATAAGAGAATCCTGTAAATATTTTAATTGTTACAGCTAGAGGTCTGCAAAGTAATTTTTTCGCAGTCCGAGCCCGAATTTAAAAAACTTTTTTGTCCGAGCCCGATCGAGCACAAGACGCATATTTTAGTCTAACCCGACCCAATAAAATTTTAGAATTTGAGTTTGAATATTATAATAACTAAAAAAAAATTATGTGTATTTATTCATCGCCACCTCAAATAAAAGTTTATTTGACGGCCATAATCTAATCAAGATATATATTAAGTTGCATATTTAATTTTTAAAAAATATTATAAAAAGGAAAAAATACAATCGAATCTAATAATTATAAATAATTTTACCATATTTTCATATATTTGTTATCAACATCGACCCTTTTTCATATATGCGTTATATTTTGGAAATAATTTATTGCGTATACCATCAGCAGTATCTATTAAATTTCTAGAAATTGTCGTGAGATTTGAAATGATGCTTTTAACATCAATATTTCCATATATTGAGCTAATTTTGGCAAAATATTGACAACAATCAACAAAGCCTTCCCCATGAATTGCATTAAGTGATCTCAAATCACGTTCACAAATCATGATGAGCACCTTTGTACACTCTTCTTTTTTTTTAATTTGGCACAACTTTTGAGTTCTTTGGAATCAGTAAAGGCTATCAATTGTTAATCGACTCTTTTTACTCTCTATTGTAAATACGCATTTATGACTTTCTAGCTAATTTTTGCTTAATATAATTTAATAAAAAATTGCAATTTTCATCATATATAAATGAAAATTTTTCCCAGACCTCAGATTTGCAATTAGCATTTTCCCTTACTTCATATTCATTGCTAATAATCTCTTCCCTAATTTTTTTTAATTTGGCATCCATTGAAATAATTTTTTTAATATGAAAATATGAGGCTATTTTTGAATAGATAAGTAAATATATTTCATTTAACTTGATAGAATATGATGAAAATAAAATATGTAATAATATCGTTAACTATGCAATGAAATGTATTAAAATATAATAACATAAAATAATTTGGTATATGGTTGTTATGTAAACTATAAAATAATATTTGAAAATGTTATGTGAAATTTTATGGATAAAATGTGATATGGTTTTATAATTGATATAAATTATAATAATTATTTAGGCTATTTATTTTTTTCGAGTCGGGTCGGGTTGTGTTTCGAGTCGGCCAGCTCTTACAACCCGATCCTAGCCCGAACAATATTTTTTTAAGTGCGAACCCGACCCGAACCCGAGACTCTGGTCGGGTCGGGCTACGGACAGCCCATGCAGTCCTCTAGTTATAGCACATAGGTATTTTGGGGGGAAATAATTGGTACAAATATGTTTGCACAACTTAGATAGTTACCCAATTTATTACCACTTTTTACTTATTTTAAAAAAATATATTACTATTATATTCTAAGATTAGTTAAAAGTTAGATTATGCCCAAACATTTTTTAAATAATTTTTATTATTATTCATCAAAGTAAAAGTCATGAATAAAATTATGAATGCATATCTTACGGGGAATGTATTATTTTTCCAACTTTAAATCATTTGTTGAGCGAGTTTTATTTTAAATTTAAAATTTTGATTTTACTGGAAAAGCATCCCAGCATGTTTAGAATATTTATTTTATGAATTTTTGTCATTTTTTTATATAAAAAATCTATGGAAAACTAATATAAATTATATCATAAGATGAAATACATTTCCGGTAAAACCAAATTTTTAAATTTAAAAAAAAACACTTAAAAGATGATTTTAAGTTGAAAAATAACACATTGCCTGGAAAAACACATTGACGCAAACATATACGTAAACCTATATAAAATAAGATCGTATAAAATTATTATAAAATAAGAATAAAAATTAACTTGTAAAATAAAATAAGATGTTTATTTGATGTTTTATTTGCAGCGTAGAATTCTTAAAAAGTCCAATTAGGGTCGATTTTTAAAAATGATCCGATTAAAATTTCATTCAAAATAATATTATCTAGGCCTCCAGATTTAGCAAATAGAGTTCAAATCTTTCTACCATCTATAAACAAATCTCCTGAAACCCTATCAGGGAGTTTGATAATGTCTTCTTTGGATTTATGAATATTGTGAACAGTTCTTTTAGAAATATTAAATCTTTTAGTTCATTATTTTGAGTGTGAGGATTTAGAAATTTAATAAACAAATTTTTTTTTAATTAGCGATAACTCGTTATATTTGTTTTCTTTATTAATTTGTAATTTGATATGTAGGTTAAAAAGATGATAAAATAAAATCCTATAATATAAACGAATTAATGAGACAAAAAACAAAATTCTCACTTTAAAGAGGTCTCAAATGGACAAAAAATTAAAAATTTGCTCACTTTTTGAAGTAGATAATTACTCAATTCATCAAGACATTTTCTAATAGTAATAGGAATTCGATTTCAAACCTTCAAATTAGTGAGTTACCCTAATTATCAAGAGCCCAAATGAGACAAGGTTTACTGTATATGTTTTGTATTGTCAAAAATATTTGAGTGTTAACTGCTTTATATATAGGAAAAAAAAATTAAAAATGTTTATCTCTACATATAATTCTAACCAGTTTGTATGATAAAAGCGAACAGTTCCGACCTAACCGATTTTATTATTATTTTATCACGAACTAAACTGTTATTTTATTGAAACTGAACTGAAATTATTTATGGTTTGAATCCCATGTAATTCAGAAAAATTTGTAATATAAATCAAATCTAGATAAATAATTTTTTGTGATGGAAATACAGTTAGATCAGCATTTTAAATGATATATTTTGTCTAAGGCATAAATTTTTTTTAGGGTCTCCCATCGATTATGGTTATTTTTTTTAAAAAATTGCATAACACGAGTGCAACTTAGAAATTCAGTTTGACATTGATCGCAGTTTGTTCTGAAATAAATTCTCTATATTCTCTAGTATAACCTTGCAAAATTTTATAATAACAGTTAAATTTGACATTTTCATATTTCTTACTTTAAATGTGTTTTCCATGTGAATTAAGAAAGGAAAGTTGATGGCTTGTAATATGCGTTTTTCGTTAATGGTGTGTTCGACTTGTTTTAATTTAACGATCTATAATTTAAGTATTTGGTCATTTTTAAAAAAATCTATTTTGACGACCATTTAAATCAGAGACCTCTGTAGAGATATTAAATGGCTCGGCTCAAATTTGAAAAAAAAATCATTTTCAAGCTTGATTCAGTATTTTTTTTTGGATTTTTTGGCCCGGTCCAAATTTTATCTATAACTATTTTACGCCTTAATCTGATTTTTTAAAAAATAATTAATTTAATTTTGGCTGTATTTTGTATAAATTATGAAAAAACATCGAAAATATGAATAGTTATTCAACATTTTCAAGTGACTAATTGGGATAAAATTTAATAAATAGACCTTCCCAATTAGGGTTTATTTTTTTATTAAAATTTTCTGCACGGGTCGTCCAAAAACCTCTGATTTGAATTGACTACCATAATTTCAGTAAAATTAACTTCAAAGAAAACATTTAACTGTATCATAAAAATAGAATTCGAATTATTAAAAATGATGTTATATTCATTGAGGATAGATTATTAAATATTATTAACCTTTTGTTTGTCCAACACCTTCATGGCATAAAAATATTTGGATTGTTTATTTTGAACTAATATGACGCGTCCAAACGAACCTGTTCCTAACGTTTTCACCCTCGTATATTCATCGAAAGATCCGATACTCTATAAAATTATTCATAACTTTTATTTTTATTATTATTAAAAAACGTAAATTTAAAACTAAGTAATCCGAAAAAAGAATTGTTTTTTATGTTCAAATCGGAAACCGAACATTTTTATATAGCCCACGAAATTGTGAAATATCCATTCCCTTAATTTTTTTCCACACACTGCTTAAAACATCAGCCCTAAACCCCTAAATTTTAGCTATATTTTAATTATAATTAAAATAATAAATTATAAGTCATAACTCCTTTATAGGCTTTATCGACAATATTATTTTTTTTACATTTTCTAGATTTTGGTCAAAATTTAAATATCCATTCTAAATTTTTGGACAACACTAATATAAATATCGTTCATAAATAGAAATTTAGTTTCCACTACGATCGCGCCAATTTTCTATATTTTTTTTTGTAATTGAGGATTAAATCTCTATTTATACTAGGTAAGTCCATTCAATTAATTTTTTGATTTCGTACTTTTGAGGTAAGTTTTTATTCTCCGTAATGAAGAAAAGGTCCTCTCATTTATAATTGTTGCCAAAATATACAGTAATTTTAATAGATTTGGAAAATATTACAAAATATATTTTAAAGTATGTAAAGCTTCCATGGTGTTTCTTGGATGAACATTTAATAAAATTAATCTTTCATACCAAGATTTAAATTCTGAAATTAATTGGCCATCAGATATGGCCGTCAGATAATTTATATCATCAGAAAAAAATTGAGCGAAATATTCAATTGCAATACCAAGATTATATCCTAAGACGGATTTCTAGGTATAATAGTATTTTTAAATTGGACAGAGCCATTTGATCAATCCCAAATTCATTAATTTGTGTAAAAAATATATTCAAAAGTGGAATAAAAATGGTTGTTCTATAGAAATCCTCATTTGTGTTCACGTTAATATTAGAACGATTGTTTGCCTAGATGCAGACTTGCGAATCTCAAAATCATATATTCTCGTTTCCGTTCAATATTTATATAAATCTCGTAAAATTATCGGCTGTCCTATTGAATCTAATAATATATAAGCTTCAGGTAAGATATCTGGAGCAGGACATCCTGATATTTCTCCAAGGGAAATATCTAAAAGACTTTTCTAGATCCAAAAATGCTGTAATAGTTTAATGTTGAAGACTCCATAGTGTCAGGTTTGATATTTGCAGTTTTTTCTTCTTGCAACACAAGAGTCTTAAAAATAATTCCATTCAACATTTATGTCTAATGATCACTAACCTTCTGAAGACCTTATTTCTTCATTATCTAACTTTTGGGATTCTTCATTTTGTTATATAGTTTTATTTGTAAATCATTATGCATCAGAGTGTGAAGATGAATAAACAATCATTATGATTTCTGGTTGGTTTTGGGTTATATATTTTTATGTTAAATTGCACTAATGTTAGGTTTTTGGTTGATAAAATTTTCTTATATCCATCAGTGTTTAAGGTTTAAAAAAATAGAAGAAAATATGTTTCAAATTTTCATGGGAAAAAATATTAATATACACAGATGAAACATAACAATTAATTTAACTTTTAGCTAAAATTTTAAATAGAATATAACCTATTTGAAATAAAATACTTTGCATTTCACAATTCCTAAAACCTTTTTTATTTTTTCAAAAAATTTTGCTACGGGAGGGGGGGGGCACTGGTACGCGCCTGGATGAAATCATCACAATATGTAAAAGTAAAAAGGAAATTTTTTTTCTTTATATTTTTAAAAAAAATGTTTTTATGATCATTCTTAATTATTGACTATAGTGTTTTACCCTCTTTAAGTTGAGGGGAAAAAAATTATCCCTGTAAAAGAAATTTTAATAGCAAAAGCAGATAAAAGGACAAAAAATGTTACAAAGAAAATTTAAAAATAGTTATGATAAAAAAATATTATTTTAGCCAAATTAATTCTTTTTGAAAAATTACACGTTTTTATATATAAGATTTAAAGCTTAATTATGTTATACTTTTGATAATAACCAATTTAACTTTTATCTTTACATGAGCAATTATTTCATTTATTTAAACATTTTTATATTAATCTTTTTAAACATCTTATTATAATCCTTTCATATTTTTGCTATAGGTTTGTTTATGAAGTATAATTGTTGTGATATAACTCAAATTTGAATATTTATTGTACTTGGATTTTTAAATTTGTATATTTGATAATTATTATATGGGAATTTTTAGATTTAATATTTAGTTTTTATATTTTTTTTGTATATATGTATATTTTATTTATGAATATATTTGAATATTTAGTTTTTTTTTATATTTGAATGTTTAATGTAATATTAAATTATTATAAAATTTTAATAAGTTATGAACTTTATTATTGATTATTAATTCTTATTGTATTGTTAAGAAGTTATGAACTTCGAATTTTTTTAATTTTTGAATATTAATTCTGATTTTAAAAAAAGAAAATATATAAAAGACCCAAACATTTATAAAAAAAATTCATAATTATAAAATTTGGTAATTACCTGTGTTTTGGAAATTATCAATAAAGTTGCCAATTTTTGCGTTTTAAAGAATTGAATAAAATTATTAAAATTGCGTTTGAAATTATTAATAAAGTTGTAAATTTTTGCGTTTTTAAAGAATTTAATAAAATTATTTTTAAATAGCTAATATTTAATTATTCATTTTAATTTATATTTTTCTTCTATTTCTAGATATCACTTCTACAGTACATTATCACCTTTACACTTCCACTAATCTCTACAAATTCTTCCGGAATCTCTACCATTTCCCCTTAAACACTAACATATATATTATCTATAAACCCAATCGTAACAATAATATATAAAGCTAAACTAATGATTACTTAAATAAATTCATGTATTTTTTTTATCCTCTCTTCTATATTAATCTGAATCTAGAATTGGAAATATCTTTAGCTCTTCATTTAGATGTTGCTGAAAAGTCTAGAAGATATTTTAGGCGTAGGGGATATTGGGGTTAGGTAAACCCCGGGGCTTGGCAAACCCTTTAATCTCATTTTAAAATTAAATACATCAGAAGGTTAAAATTTTATCCGAATATAATTTCTATTAGTTTATATCTATGGACAAAAAGTCTTTTAAAATAATTAATTACTAAAAATTTTATTTAAGAGATAAAATTTATTTTCAAAAGATTTTTACATGACAGAATTTTACTAAAATATATAATTTCAATAATTTGGGTAAGTTTTATGAGTATTTATGTCTAGATATCATTTCAATCATGATTTGTCAATTTAGAGCTAGCGGGGCTAAACCATACACATCAATTATGACAGTTAATAATGAAAAAAAAATTAAAATATTGAAAAGGCAATTTCATGGCTGTTTATGATTGGTATTTATATTTCGAATTTATGCTAAGAAGTCATAATCTCTCCTTAAGATCCTTATTTTTTTATATACAAAATGTTTATTAAATTAACCAAAATTAAGTTTCAATTTTATATATAATTAGCTTCAATCAATTTATAAGTATTATGATATTTTGAACATTACAACTATACAATTATTCTATAGGTATCATTATTAATAAATAAAAATGTATTTCAATTTAGTATGGCCTAAAAAACTAATGGTTTTGGAAACCTCTTGAAGTGGTTTGCCTCACCCCGCTATTGGGGCTTGTTAGACAAAATTTTTCACTTTTACAAAAGATAAAATATTTAAAAAATCATTATATTCTTAAAATTTTTCATAAGACACTTTATAGAATATAGTCGTAGATATCTAATCATATATTATTTTTCATATTATCTAAAAAAAACAGGAGCTAATTTTGTAAAAATCAGTTCGACTAAGCCCAGTCTCCCCTTCTCAAATTGAATTTTATGGTGTTGCTGTTCATAATTTCACCTCTCCTCAAGAAAGACACCGATAAAAACTAAAAAATCTTAGTGTTATTGGTTTAAAACAAATAAAGGATTTCATTATCGAATACTAAGTACTAAATATGAAAATTAATTATTATTAATTAAAAGCGAAAAAAACCAATGATACATTGTAATCTTTAAAAAAACTATAAATGCATCGAAACTTTGTGTAGTTCATCATTTTTAAAAATATACCCTTTAAGTTCAAACATATTTTTAAAATAAAAATATGATATATGAGAAAATGATTTTTCTATCTAAAGACAATATTTTAATTGAAACTATATCACAAAGAATGAAAATATTTCATTTATACCAATGAACCAATAAAATTATTTTAAAAAAATCTAAATTTAAAATATATTTACAAATATTTTTTAAGGGAAAATAAGAGAAATTTAACAATAAATTTTTTGAATCATCCTAAAAAAATTACTGCGGGCGCCCATGATTGTTAAGTTATTAATCTTTTGAAAAATGACTCTTTGGAGGAATTAATCGTAATCTAATATATTTTTCCCCCGAAAATTACATAAGACTAACTAATATACACTGTTACCCGGAAGAACTATGAGGAACCGACTGCCTCCAGGGGAAAAAAAAATAATCTTATTGGTCTTATTCGTTTAATTGTTAAATATAATATGTTCCGCAGAGTATAATGTATATACATATCATTTGGCAAAAAGAAATTCGTTATTTCTAATTATTTAGATATAATACTGCAGCTGAAATTTCAATAAAATTATAAGCCTGTGCACTCGCGTTTCCTATTACATCTGCTCAATGAGCAGATGTTACGTTTTTCAGAAAGAAAGGATCTATAAAAAAATAAGTCCAAGATTTTGGCTGCAAGAATATTAAATTCATTCTAAAAATCCAACTAATTAATCGAAACCTATTATAAAAAATGTGATTTACCACTCTTTCATAAGTATTTCTGTCATATATACATTAACTATAATGTTCCCGATTCTGAGAAAAAAATTAATGCAGCTGTTTGGAGATCATCGTCTAAAAATAGTTTTACATCTGATTATTTTACAACAAATTTAATTTGTTTAATTGCTGAGGTCTTAAAGAAGACTTAAATACATTCAATAAAAATTACATTTTTTTAAACTAACAAATTTTAGTTTTATTGTTCAAAATTTTTTCATTAAAGAATTATTTAAATTAAAATCAAAGATGTTTTATTTAAATTAAAGGCAGAGATGTTTTTTTTAAAAAACGAAATGACTAAAATAAAATTTCAAAAAGAGTGGCAAAAGAGGTGATTATAAAATTGCAGGGTGATAGTATTCAGTCTCTACTATATCTCTATATATAAAAAACTAGATTAACCTGGAAATAAAAAAATTTCCAACACATTTTAAGGATAGTAGTAGAAAATCGTAGGAGTACCGACAATATAACTTTTTGAGCATCCACTCTGCTAATCTATATACGATATCGATTTAAATTCTTATGTTGTGCATATTAAACATCAGTAACCGTTTTGTTATGACTAGTTTAGAGTTCAAGAGTTAAAAAAATTTTAACAATTGGGTATGATATTTGTGAGAAATAATAAGTGTACACTCCGTTAAATTAATAATAAATGAATAAAATATTATAAAAAGATTCTATTATTATAAAAAAAAAATCGATATTTTAACTGATGTTTTATTCAGAGTGTCGATTGGGAGACGCAAAAGCGTCCCTACCGGTTATAATTTATTTTAATTACTGTTAAAATATTTTTGATTATACTAAAAACATTTTTATTTATTGAATTGATGCCTAAACAATTTTATTTTAAATCTTTCAAATTCATCACATGCCTGTAAAATGGGTTTTTTAAAAAAATAATGACCTCTTTAACATACTCAAGGATTTCTCCTGCGGGAGTGGGGGGGGGATCATCTTTGAAATTGGAGGGGTCAGATAGGTGGTGGTTATGAGAACGCCATCATCATTTGAATAATATTAAAGGGGATGGTAATTTTGATTTGGTGGTTGGTGGGGGGGGGGTAAAATTGTCATTAATTTACGGAGTGTAGAAGTCCATGAGCAAACTAATAGGAAATGCGATATTAATATTATTTCTTAAATTTCTTTTTATGTCTTATAAAATACAAATATATTTTTATATTTTTTTAATAAAATTAGTAAAATATTTTATGATAATTTGGATATATTTCAAAAAGAAATAATCTAAAAATAAATTTGCTTTTTAAAATATTATGTAAATAACAAAAAATTAAACGGTGAAATTAAAAATGAACATATGTGCCAATCTTGTGGTTTTATTTTTATTCAACAAAAATCCTTTTTACAAATTTTTTTTTCAAATATCTCAATTTGTAATTCAGTTTTTTCAAAATCGTAAATTATTGCAAAAATAAAAAAAAATAAACATCATCTTTAAGCATAATTCATGATTACAAGCATCACTTCTATGCAAACTCCGGGGTATCGGCTTACGCTCACCTCTAACTCCTTCCATTAGTGGGTTCATCGCTTCCCGTCTTTCATCTGACTCACACATTAGCCATCTTTCTTACTTCCCTGGCCCCTTATTAGCTGAAACCCAGAACATTTTGGACAATTCCGTTGTCCCAAATATCCACGACCCTCCTCATGTTCACAGCAAGACGGAGATATGCCACTCAGAGAAAGATCCGTCGCTTACCTAAAATCGAGCCTTCACGACCACGATCTCACAGTTTTTCACCAATTGAACCAAGGATCCGGTTACGAGTTTCTGGAAACCATACCTTCTAACAACCTTAATTTGTCTTTCCGCTGACGAGCTAAGATTTGCTATTGGACTAGGCTCAATTGCGTAATTGTTCTATACCAATGTAAACATTGCGAAACAACCAGCGTCAATAGCAAGGGCAGACATTGTCTCCATTGTAGCTTTTGTCAAGGCCGTTTTCCACGGCACACCAAATGCAACGACATCATATTACGTGCCCTCAAATCAGCAGGCATTCCATCTAGACTTGAACCAACCGGAATTTTTAGAACTAATGAAAAACGTACTGAAGGAATGTCCTCGATTTCTTGGTCAAGGGGTCAGCTCCTGGTTTAGGATTTCCTCTGCATTGACCCAAATGCACCATCTAATTATAATGTCGATACCCTCACCCTCACAGAATTCCGAAAAATCATCAAGTACAGTTCCTTAGATATTTCTTTCTATACCCATCGCCTGCTCCATTCTCACCACCTTCGGTAATAAAGCTCAACGTTTTTTTAAAGAATTAGGTAAACGGATTCGTGAAAAAACCGATCAGTCTAAGAAATCCCTCTTCTTACGACAAAGACTTGCTACAGCCATTATTCGCTCTAACTATCTAAATTTTATCTCTCTTCCATCGAATAACCTTCCATTTCTTCCCTTTACATTCCTTTCCTTTTTTTTATCCTTTATACTTTCTCGTAAACTCCATTTCTATATTTTTCACATTTATTAATTTTATTTTTTTTTTTAAAAAATTAATTATTTGCTATCACATTTTGATAACATATTATATCAGCTATTATTCAAATAAAGTAACTGACCGGAAATAAAAATTTTTTAATTTATAAATTTGAGGAAAATAAAAAAATTTAATCATAAATTTTATAATAGTACGTATTATTGAAAAATAATCTAGATTCGTGCAAATTCAATTATTTTTTGCCCTAGCGCCAGGCGCCATACCCAAAATTATTATTAATTTATAAACCCGACGGCCCGTTATTTAAATATTATATTAAATTAAATTTTTTTTATTAAGTTAAAATAAATTATCTAAGCAGAATATTTTTAATTATCCTTTTACTTTTCGAGCTAGGCAGATTTATTTTAAAAAACGAAATATCTTATTATAAAAGTTACCATATATTACGAAATAAAATGTATAAAAGTTTATCTAATAAGTTTTTAATATGGTTATAATTAATGTTAACTTCTCGCTTAAAAAAAGAAACTTTAATTAACTTGTGCTTTTGTCTTTTTTCTTGAAAAAAGTTATAAAATGTAAGATTTGGCGATGAAATGATAAAAAAAGCTTAATTTTCTATGAAATTATATATTCAATAAAAATGATATTTTTTTATTAACTGATTGGACTATGCTGCAACAAAAGTCTCTTTTTTTTAAGTTCATAAATTATTTATTATTATTTAATAAAATTTGTTATTAAGCAACTTTATAAAATTTTATTTTTGAAATAAAATTTGTTATTAAGCAACTTTATAAAATTTTATTTTTGAAATAATTTAAAATCAATAAAAAAGAATTTACTTTTATTGGATTTTCCCATTTTTCTTTGAATTCCTTAGCCGAACGGTCCAAATACTCTTTAACTTAAAAATATATTTATTAATATATGAAATATAAATTAAATATTGAGTAGCATAATATAATTAATAAGAAGTCGCCAATATTTTGTTCTAATAAACTTATCACATTTTCTAATAAAATAATTATATTATTTCCTATTACTTAAATCATATACCTGCAGATGTACCATTTGTAAGGCCCAGCCTCACTCGGAGTTTTTTTTAAAAAAATTTCAGGTCCGGTTATAGAATTAATACCGTATTGATATCCCGTGATGTACAAAAAATTTTCTTAAAATTTAACATTAGAGATATATAGTCTCCATCGATTTATTTAATATTAAGAGGATAGGAAAGTTGATAGAAAAAATAAAAATTAACATTAAGATGATAGGAAAGTTGATAAGAAAAATAAAAATTAACATTAAGATTATTCGAAAACGTTCATTTTTTTATTACCGTGATTATATATATAGATTATTCTAAGTCCTAATTTTATCAATATAATAATATTTATTGGCTTATTATTTTAATGATGACAAATTTTTATTAAGTTTTTTTATTTTAATTTAATCTTAAATCAAGGTCAAATTATTATTGACATAAATAGGACTTATTTTGTAATGTATTAGACTTATTGGTGAATTCTGATATTTGATAGAAGTGATAATCCATAAATTATATTGTTTTTAATTTAACCACTTCTCAATACTATAATTAATTGTTTATTTAGATGTTCAATTACAAATATTTCAGGTTAGGTTTATTTTAAATAACCGCAGTGATTTTAAACAACCGGGCAGGGCAACTTTAATAAAAAAATGAAACCAGGCCGGACATTAGTAAAATAAAATCCATTCTAGGCTGGGCCGGGCAAAATATATATTCGCATCGGGCCGGGCTGGAATTTTACCATTTGCAGATCACTAATACAAATACGTTTTTTAAAAAAATGTATTTTAAATGTATAAATATTTATAAAAAAGCATTTAAATACAAACACTTTTACGAATACTGTTTGGAAAAATAGTTAATTTTTAGTAATTATTAATAACTTATATTTAATAATTTTATAAAGGATTTTTTCATTTTCTAAAAAAAATCTAAAAATTATGTAAATAATATATCAAATCGAATATTTTGCAAGTATTTTATTTTAGAAATTATATCTCAGAGAGCAAATGTAAGGTATTTTTGTATAACCCATTTTGCTTTGCCTTTAAAATTGATATTGGTATTTTGAAAATATACCTTCGGCTTAAAATGGTTTGTGGATTGTGGGAGCTCTTCCTGATACCTGCTAAAATATCTTAATAAAGAATACTCGGTAGCATTAGAAACTAAATCTTCTAGTTCTGTATCACTTACAAAAGAAAAAAAATTTTTAGTTTCACTTTCATTATGAATGTGGCTTATTTTAAGAAAATAGGAGAAAAAAACAGATAATATATATTTCTTTTTTCTCTCAAACCTATATCAAACTTATGTCAAATGTTGATGATAAATTTTATTCATCATGTGATTGTTGAGTTCAAAGTTAAAGCAGGATATATGAATCAAAAATATTTTTTTAGATAAAAAAGTAAACGATTGTCAAATTTATGTTATATAAAATAATATTTTTAAAATATGATAGCTCTTCGCCGACTCTTCATTTAGATCTGCTAAAGAGTTATATTCTTAAATTTATTTAAGTGTTCTCTCGTAAGAGTTCAAATAAAAATTATTTTAAGGGTAATTAGATTAAATTTAATCGTTAATGACTATTGTAGTGAATATATATCTCTTTCCTTGGTGTCGCGATTGGTCGTAATTGAATAAGATCAAAGAGATGTTTTATGGTTAAGCATTACATAAGTAACTTCAACGCATGGGTAATATTATTAGGCCTCATTTATAGTAAACGCGTTATCTTCAAGCGCTGCGTTATAACAGCTCATTCATTTAAGTTAAAGCAAAATAAAGATAATTATTTTATATAATATTTAAGAAAAATCTTACCTTTTTATCGAATTCGCTATTATTTTTATAATCGTATCGCATATTTCTTTATCAACGCATCACAACATGTTTTTCAAATTTTATCATAGCGTATCATCATAACGCTTCATATTTAAATTTATACCTATTTATTGGGTTAATTTTTTAATAACGCTGCTTCAAATAACACAGCGCTTGAGCATAACGCGTTTACTATAAATGAGGCCTTAATTTTACTTTTTTGTATAATGTCGACATGCTCTATTTTTAGAATTGTCAATGTCACCAGAATTTTCGATAAAAAATAATACATTTTATTAATTCTATAGAATATTCAATTTTAATAGTAACTTCCCTTGTATGTGCTAGCCCAAAATTTCTATTGATTTTATTCATGCAGACCTGCTCTAAAGGGTGGTAAAATTAATTTTCGTTGAAAAATAAAATAAAGTTACAAATTCTGTTAGATAATGGATATTTTTTTTACAAATCTACTCATAATATAAACATACATAAGTTTATTTAATCTATAAAAGAAATCAATTCAATTACCTCTTTTTAAATTTTCACAAGCTTCCTTCCCCAAAATATGGAAAAAATTTTCCTCTAAAAGGATGGACTCATTTAAAGAATTTCGCATAGTATCCATATCGCTATCATTGTAAGTAAATGAGCGAAGTTCGACTCCTATTTTGTAGGCGTTTTTTGAATTTTCAGAATTTAGTTTGCAATTTTTATATTTTTCATCGGAAGAAGAAGATATTGACGAGAATTTTTTATTAGATATTGCTGAGAAATTCTCTTCTATTTTATGTGAAGTCTTGGAAGAATGTGACAACGGTTGTAAAGGAATCTGTTTTAGGCAATGGTAGAAAAAACTAAGCATTCCCCGGATAATTAAAATTCCGCTGGTTGTTATGAATTTTAGACTACATCTGATACAGTTTAACGAACAACTGCTTTAATATTTAAAATTATATACTAAAATGTTTAGATACAAATATGTAATTAAAATAATTGATGTTTTGTTATTTTTTGTTAAATTAAACAGATTATCCTAGCCAATTATTAGTGACAGTTTCAACAAAAATTATTCAAATCGTATTCCAATAAAATAAAAAATAAATTTATATAAATATTTATTATATAAAGTAAACTTTGAATTAATGCAATTTATTAATTAAGTAGTTAATAAATAGAAATTCGAATCATTTATTATAAATATATGGAAAAAGAATATTATATTATTATAATTGATAAAACACAAGACAGTTAGCTCCTAGAATATCTTATTTTTGTATTTTTTGTGTTACCTAAAAAAATTCAAGAAGTATATTTAGAACACAACGATAAGGGCAGGGCTATTGCAATCCAATAGCATATATTATTTTTTTTGAAAATTATTTAAATCAATATTTAATATAAGAGAAAACTTTTAATTATTCAATCAATTAACAATTTATGTTTATAAATAACTAGAAAATACGAATTATCATTATAAATATGCGAAAAAATCCTATTTAGCGATGACAACAAGAATTAAATATATTATAATAAAATACTATATAAAGAAAAGTATATTTTCTAAAAACTGATTGAATCAAAATTATATATATTATTTGTAAGTTGGGAGCTCTTAAAATATATCTTATTGTGTAGAGAATTCTTTTTTGTGTTATCTAAATTTTCAAAAAAGTGAGAATTTACTAAAATGATAAAAGCTATCAAACTTAACGTCGAAAGAAATGAGATTACCTCTTACTCTATCTCAAGCGCCAAAATTAGGATCTTACATCATATCTATATAAACGTTTCAAACATGAGTCGTAAAAAAGGAAGGTATTTTTCTCCAAACATCTCGTCCGATGCTTTTTGAATCGTTGCAAAAATTATGGTTATTAACAAAATGATAATAAAATCTTTAACTCCATCTATGAAATAAAATATTATTTAAAAAATCTATCATTTTGTATTTAAAGTTTTTTTCGTATAAAACCAAAAAATATAAAGATAATGCCAAAAAACAGGAGTAAAGTTTATAACATTTACCATATTTTTTTTTGCTTAAAGTTCTTTCGTGTTTTTTTATAAAAAAATATGTTTTGTTTTGCCTTTTATTAACCATAAAATAATTAGCCTTTGATCTAAAATTTAGTAATTGATGTGTTTGTGATTTACTAGTATCGTTCGACTCTATCGCTATTAATGTTTTAAAGTAGGAGGGAAAAAATGTGTAACTAGTAACGGGGCTACTTTCTTGGAAAAATGTAACATTCAAATAAAGTAAATTAAGTTATGAGTGACGATAACTAATGAAATAACTCTTTTAAATTTTGATATTATTTAGAATTTTTTAAGAACATACGGTATAATAATTATAAGATATCAAATTTATATTAAATTGACAACAGAGCAATTTCAAACCTGTTTCAGAAAAAAAAGTCAGTAACGATATTTTGCAATGTGACCGACAATATGCTATCTCTTATTTTATTTTCTAAAAGGCTAGCAAATCCTGACATCTTATTTCTTTCTCCTTTATTATAGATATTTTTATTATCAAATATTTTAAGTTTTGGATGAATTCTATCATCTTTGATCCATTAGGAACTCCTAAAGAATTTGAATCACTTTTAACAGCTGAAAATGAAAATTTTAAGCTCAACTTTATATGTATATTATTCATTTTGAGGACAACTACCTAAACCATAGTCTAGGCCAAGTCCTGAAAGGATAAAATTATAAAAACCGATCAGGCTTAGAAATAAACTAGTAAATTGTATAAATAGATTAAGCTTAGATATAAATCCACTTCTTAGTGCTTTAATCGGGTTCCGCCTATGGCAGTTTCTTATCTAACAAGTTTAATCTTAATAATCTTTTTTTGTTTTTTTCTGTCATCTTATTCTTACTTTTAAAATAGAAAAAAGACAAAATTCGCGCTCGGAATTAAGGGTCACTAAATTTATAATTTAGCAGCGATAGCTTTAAAAAGTTGTTAAATAGATTTGTGACATCATTGGAAAATTTAATAAATGAAATTGGATATCTTGCCAACCCTGAAAGGCAAACGACATAATATACTTGATAATTTTAAATAAATAATATCTTATTTTATTCCCCTAACTTACTCTTATATTATATATTATATATAAATTATAGAATTTATTTTAAAAAGTTATATACAAATATTTTTACTACAATACTAATTTTTCCGAAAAATAACTTTGGTGAAAGTTAAACCCTTTCTGGGGAAGGTTGATTGTAAACTTGTTTCAAAAGTTTCATAATTTTCAAAAGTTTTAAAAATTTAAGATTAAAACTTTAAGAAAAATACTAACGTTAAAGTTAAGAAAATATTTTTTATAATAAATGTTTTACGCATTTTTTCTACTTTTCTTTAGAAAAGGGCTTTTTAAATAAAGTTATCAAAAGTTTTCAAATTTACATTTTTAATTGTTTTTGAACGTTGTGTTATACATAATTAAAAATATAATAAAAAAATCAAAATCATAATTTATTGTCATATTATAAAATTTAAATTAGTGTGCAAATGGCTCGTATAAACTCCTGAAAACTAATCCCAGATCCTTACTAACTTTAAAATTTAATTTTTGATAAAAATTGTTTAATAAATTATCATTTTTTATAAAACAGATTGTTAAATCAAATAGTTTTCCGATATTTAAAATCTCTATTATTTTATACATTTACAAAAATTGCAGCATCTAAAAAGTAATCAAAAACTAAATGCCACCCCATTATAAAAAAAAAATAACTCATAAACTGCACATGCATATTATAAACTCTAGAAAAAATCCCAGGTGTCTCCTGGAAGTCTGCAATGAGCTTAAGTTTAAGTGGAAAACATTAAAATATATAATTTAGCAGGTTATACAAAATTTTTAGATAAATGGGTGGGCGAGTAAATTTTGCGAAAAAACTATAGATGCGAGAGCAAAAGATCGTTAGATTCTTTTAAAATAATGGGAGGGCGGACCATTGGGTTAAATCACTCATTGTAGTTCTAGTCTCTCCAACCATGAAAAGGGAAGAGAAGAGCAAAAAAAATTGTTTTTTAACAGTTATTGTGTAACAACAATCGCTTTTATCAAATTCGTATATACAAATGTTAATTTTTATCGTGCTTCGCTTTATAAGATAGTACTGTACCGGGCCACTGCTCCCAAAGTCGGGCTTCCAACTTAAGGGTCTGAAGTTTAGTCCTGTCTTAGAAAAATAAGACAGGACCGACGGCTAGAAACACTAATTATCTTTATAATTTCTTATGTGATATAAGATATCCGTATGACTGTTGAGCCAGGTTTAACTGATTGAAGAATATAGGCTGAGGGGTAGTTAATATAATATTTATTATGCTTTCATCTCTAATTTTTGCCCAAACATCTGAAATCAAGTAGATATTAGAGGAAAATTTAATTTTTACATGATTTATTAAAATTGGGAATTTTGGAAATATTTTCTTTCAATAAATTTCCAGATAATATTCGCAAGAATTCTTAATTCCAAGCTAAACATCCAACTGAACCATTTTATGAACTTGAACTGTTATTTGTATCTGAAACTGAACCGATATTCGTTATAGCTCGCAGTGTTGTTAAACGCTAATTTTAAAAGTAGCGCGCTATCGCTACCGCTATCGTTTTCAAATGAGTAGCGCGCTAATAGCTACTTTTTACGCTATTTTGATTTTTTTTTTAAATATTTTTTGCGTAACTTTATTTCCACAAATAAAATATTGGTATAAAAACATGACTATAATTTGTTACATATATATATATAATTTATTTATTATTGCACTTTAATAATAATAAAATTTCGGTACTCTCATCCCCATCTAATGCGACGATCAAAAGTATAAGCTTTGCCATACTAAATAATCGTTCAGCAGTAGCACTTGAGGGCAACGCAGTATTGAATTTAATAAACACACTTTTTATATGAAAAAAATCATCAAAAATATTTAAATGAGTATTTTTAGATTTAAAAAAAGCATCTAGAGGTTCAATAATATTATTATTATTATTTATTTCCAAATAATCGTCTATGGAAAGCGGCGGTTTAGATCTTGCTATAGTATTAGTATAGAGGCAACCATCAGCCTATCCAGTTGCCCATTAGATTTAGTCAAATTAATGTATGGCCAATTTAACTTGAAACTAGGATGAACGATAGCAGCTATTACATTATCATCATCATACAGATCTGGAAATCTAATTTATATAAAACGATTGTATTTATAAAAAAGGAATACCTTTTTTATTTTCAAAATTTAAATTTATCTGAGATATAGATTCATTTATAAAAAAATATTAAAATAGCATTAAATTATGGTAAATAAAGATTTATAAATTTTGAATTTTATATTAATACAATATATTAATATTAAAGATTGTGTTGTAAATTAAGCCAATTTAAATTATGGCTAATCAAGCAATAAATCATTCATTTATATAATTGTATAATAGAAAATAAAAATAGAGTTTTGTTTTGTTTTGACCTTTTCTCAATGCCTTTTAGCATAGACTCTACCAGTAGTTGGCAAAATTTTAGATTGTTGATTCTTTTGAGATTGGTAATTAATATACTCAGTGTGGGAACATAATATCCCTTGCAATGTTTTTTTCAAATTATAGCTGCTTGTATGATTTGATGATAAAATTTTGCGACACATCTTGCATCGAAAACGATATCCAATAGTAAATTTTTCTTCAAGATTAAAGTATTTTTTGAATTTTGGGAAAATCTATATTTTTCTCATTTTCCAAAGAAATTTCGTTATCTTTAACAATCTCACACATTTTTAATAACTAGATTTATAATGCTAACTAGATTTATAATGTATATTTTTAAATAAATTTAAATCTCAAAATTAAATTAAATTAAATAAAAAGATTATAATTTTAGATTTAGTAAAAAATATATTTTAATAATTTTTAGATGTATTTATTATGTAAAATTGAAAGCGAGCTACCGCTATCGCTCTTTTCTAAAAAAGTACACCGCTAAAGCTACCGCTACTGAAATAGCGCGCTATTTTAACAACACTTATAGCTCGTATCCCTGAAATATGGTTTAAAATAATTTTTTGTTCTAAATTTTATAAATCTAAAGTAGGAATCGAATTTATTTTTAAAAAAATTAAGATTATTATAAGATAATATTTATTTATGATTATTAAATATTAGTTTTATATAATAGAATTAATTAAAAAATTGTCAAAATGACTTTAATTTTTTTCTTTCTCTTAAATATTTTTTCAAGAGTTCTGCATAATATTTTTTCGAAAAAACTGGCCCTTAACAACCAATTAAAAAATTATCAGGCTCAGTACTGCTTGTAGCGAAACTTTATTATAACTGAAATTAGGAAATATTTCTTTAAACTAAAAATATTTTTTATTTTATCATTTTTTCTAAATGTGTTATGCCTTAATTTAAAATATTTTGCGAAATCGATATTATATTTATTTCCATTTCTATTTAAAATTTTCATTCTTTAATCCAATTTTTTCTTAAATAACCATTTAAGACATTTTCCTCATTATATTTGTAAATTTATTCTAATATTATTTCAATTATATAGGACAAAACAAAAATGATTTTTTAATTAACTATAAATTTACATTATATAAGAATAATTTTTTTTACCTATTTAAAATTTATATTTAGGCAAAAAATATTCTTTTTCATAAAAATCAAAATGACCATTTACGACGTTTGTCACCTATTAGACTATATTTTTTATACTATTAAAAATTTACAATATTAAGGCAAAAAAATTATTTTAAAAATGACCATTTAAGACATTGGTCACCTTCTACTTTATTTAATTTATATTTAAAATTCACAATATTTAAGCAAAAATAGGATAATGAACCTTTTTTACAATATTTATTCCACTCTTATATTAAATTTTGAATATTTCGCAAATGACCATTTGACATTAATCACCTTTTAAATTAGTATAATTAATATTTTCCTCCAACAGATCCCTTCCACACTCTATTCCCAAAAAATAAACAGAATTCAACAATAATTTGAAAGAAAAATAAGTAAAAGGATAATAATTTTTTAAAATAATGACAATAATAATTCAAAATTTTTAGGAAAAAGGCATTTTTAACAAATAAAAGTGTAAACTAAAATTATTCTAAAAATACAACGTAGCCAATTGACTGTAATATATGATCTTAAAGACCTTATATAAAAATGATGGGGAAAAAATTAACTTAATAGTGCCTCCACCCCCACCCCCTCAGCAAAGTCTTAGCTGCGCCTATGAGGAAAATCTATTTTTTTTAGCTAATCAACTATAGAACAAATTTTATTGAAAAACTTAATAGGAATTAGCTGTTTATTAGGTTATGCATAGGTTTAGCCCATTTTTAAGATAAGAGACCTTAACGGGTTTTAATTTTTAGATCAGGCCCGCAGTAAAAATATTTTGGCCTAAGCCCAGCTCGGCTTATATTTAATATTTTTTTAAAAAATCCCAAGCCCATAATAAGTTTCAAAAAATCTTCCCAAGCCCATATTCAAAAAATTTAATTTGTATTTAATCATAATAAACAATTAGGTAATCATTTTGTTTGCAATACTTAAATTTATTATAACTGGAAGAAAAAATTTACAATATTTTATTTAAGTTATCAACTATTTAAATAGGCTAAATCTAAATTAAATAATTTTAAGTCCAAGTCTGGCAACAAGCTCATTAAAAAAATATTTCAAAAACCTAGGCCTGGCTTAGTTCCACTAAAAAATATAATATTAAGGCAGCTGGACCATACCGCGGGAAGACCCATGAAAGCCTCTGATAGATACATGTTGAATTTCATTAATTTAGATGTAAAAAGAACTTACAATTAAATGGAAGTGGCATTTATGGGATATAAAAGTATAATAATTGCTTAGGATTGATAGTAGAAAGATTTTTTTAAACTTTCTTAAATTTAAAATATGAAAAATATATATAACATAAAAATTGACAAAATATAAAAAATCAAAAAGAATTTAATTGAAAAGTTTTGCATATGCTTAAAAAATTTAAGAAAAATGGAGAAATTATGAAAAAAAAATCTCATTGTTTTTTAAAAATATTTATAATCTGTAGATCTAGATTGAGATGGATTATTTTTAACCATCGAAAATGTTAGAAGGAATATTTTTTTAGATTTTCAAAGAATCTATAATTTTATCATTTTTTAATGATACAAATTTAGTATATAACAGCAATTTTTTAAAAAGAAGACAATTTTTATTTGTGCTATCGTATTTTACAAAACATGGTTAAACCATATTATAGGCTTGGAGGTTTAACGTCATCCGAAAAACCTTTTAAAAAATCTTCATTAATCGGTTAGAGTTCTGGTGATTTCTAATGTTAATATATTTTTCGATTTCTGGCAGACTTATAAAAATAGAGAACATCAAGCACGGCTCACTACATCCCTGAAAATATAACGAGGAAAAAGATAAATTTAAAATACTAAGACAACATTATTTCCGTATGCATCCGTCGTGATGATGGAAGGTAACATTTAAAATAGATCTTTTTTGGCACGGATTTATAAATTATTGATCGAATTATTTTATATTATGTTTCTAAGAATGGTCTTTTATCAGTTTAAAAATAAATTTTCCTAAAAATATTTTGATTAAGGATAAGGAAGGGGCCATCTCAAACCCCATTTTTACGCCTGTGCAATTTAAATTTAGTCATAACTTATTTTTTAAAGCATTTTATCATGAATTCTACACAAAAATAGAGTTTAATGAAAAGGATAGTAAAATTCTGTCAAGGGTGGAATATAAACAACAAAAAATGTTTTTGCCCCTTGACATTGTTTTCAATATACAAATCTTTCAATATTGAAATAAAAGAAAATGAGATGACGTTAAAAAAATTTTTTTTTACAAATTTTGCTATTTGATCTCTGACAAGGTGGAAATTTATTTTTTAATAGTAAGAAAAAAAAATATAGAAATGCTTTTAAGCCTTTAATTGATTTTCGATTTTATATAAAAATAAATTTATTTATATTTTGATGGATAACAAAAAAAACATATATACAATCTTTTTAAAAAGTAAATTTTTTTTTGAAAATCTGACTTACATTCATATTTTGATGATTATATGATGAGGTCCAATGGTAAGGAGAAAATTTTACCCCCATCGCAAATTTACCTGTTCTCATAAATATCATTTTAAGCTAATAAAAATTTCCCCCTACACACCCCCCCCCCCCCAAAAAAAAATGTATACAATATACCATTATAAGGAAGAATTTTAAAGGACAATTAAACTTTTTAAAATAACGACTATAATTCGAAATTTTTTTAAAAAAGGATTTTAATTTTAAAAAAGTGAAAACCCAAATTATTTCTATAAATATATCCAAAAGCTTACAAATAAGTGGACCTAAAGATCTCCAATAAAATTAATGGGGAAAAAATTTACTAATAGTGCCCCCCAAGCCAAATCCTGTATAATGGTCATTTCTTTGATAAGAACCGGACCGAAACTCAAAAACTAGTCAGAATCAAATAATGTTTGAAAAAGATTAATCCAGACAGCGGATAGCTATAAAAAATCGATTCAAAATCGGTAGTCTTTTAAAAATATTTTTAAAAATAAATTCGTGTTATGCTTTACTCACGCCTAATTTAACTTGGGTTTATAATTTGATTTGAAATTATAATATAAACTTTAATAATAAAAATATTCTTATTGATTTCTTTTAAAAAATAAAAGCTAATATCTTATCTTTGTTGAAAGAGGTTCTTTGAAATTGAATCAGAGTAAGTCTTTTCTTCTTTCTTTCTTTCTCATACTAATAACTAGTATATTGTCTTATTAGAGATATGTTTCATTTTTTGTGTCGAGATCCTTTGCTTTAAATTTGTTTAAAGGGAATGGATGTCTTTTTTAGGACTATAAATATAGTGCTTTCTTGATAAACTTTGTTGGTTCAAGGGGAATGAATATGTGAAACTTCATTAGAAAAGAAATTGCGAATAAAATAAGATTAATTAGTATCATAAAGGGAGTGTGGTAAATATATACAATGGGGATTTAGTAAGATAATATTTATCCAAAAACCGGTCATGGCAGAACTGCTTTAAAATCCGGGTCGGACTAAATATCGTAAAAAGACCGATCGGTTTATCAGTCCGATCCGGACTTGGTTCAAGACAGAAACATTAACCTTCACTACCTGCATATAATGCTTCTCACATGGGACAAGAAATATAAAAAAATTAACCAACATAATTTAATCTCATTAGTTAACGTGCTTTTTAAATAATTTTAATGTTTATCAGAGAACATAATTGATTGATATCTTTACAAGGACGTGCAATAAATAATTCATTTTACATAGGCTACTATATCGAAATTTTTTCAATAATTTATTAAAACAAAGAATAATATAAATATAAAGATCATCTATCAAAATTTATTGAATTACGATATATATCCTTTTTTAATAGAGACAACGTTTTTTAAGAAAAATAGTGTCTCTCGTCATCTAAATTAATATTAAAAGGACACTATACTTGTTGTTTTAAATCCTTATGTTTCTGAAAAAGAAGCCCATGCAACTGAAAAAAAAAGATTATAAATGAATTTTACAAATATGAGTAATAATAAAATTAAATAAGCGCAAGGTATTATATTCACAGTCACAGGCTAAATTATCATATAAAGAAAATTGTGTGATTAAATTCTTCTACCTTGCTCTTTTTTTGCAAATAAATTTTTGTAATATCTTAAAAAAAGAAATGTCATTTCCAGGAATTTTAAGTATTACATATTGGAATATGTTTCAAAATTCAAATTTATCTAAAATTTTTGAAAATATAAATTCAAAATATAGCGAGATTTTAACTATTGTATTTCTGTAGCTATCAAATAGGTCGAAAAGAATAAATAATATCTAAAATAATAGTAGAATCATAAGATTCAAAAATATTTTGAATACCTGAAGATTTTGTTCATAGAAGGAACAAAGATCTAAGCATATATTATCGAAATCTCAAGATTTAGGCAATATTTTTCAGGTTAAAATATTGAGTTAGCCAAAAAATCAGCTCTAAACGAGCCGTTTAATAACACTTGATACTTTCCTGACTTTTAATGAATAAATTATAAGCTTAATGTAAAAAATATTTTTTTAAGAAATGCTTACCTTAATGGGATAATTTGTTCGAAAGAACGACAAAAATAAGGTTATTGAAATTTATTTTTTATTATCTTGTTTACATATTTTGTGCTCTCATAATAAGAGTTTTAGTTCGAGAACAGCGGAAAACCTTGTGTATAAGTATGATAAAAATTGTATACGTTAACAGATACATTTTTAAAATTGTATCGATATCTAATACCTTATAAAATTATATATATGTAACTAGATCCATTTTCTGTCGATGTATCTGTAACTCTATCTCGATCCATTTTAAAAGTATCTTTTAACAACTCTGGTTATTAGCCAAGCGACTTTTATATCCACACCCTAGATGTCTGCATTGGGCGGGGTTTCGGCCCACCAGCCCACTCCCGCCCATCTAAGTGGGCGGGCGGATGGGCGGGTAAAAAAAATTTCGAGAATGGGCAGGCGGGCGGGCGGGTTAAAAATAAAATTGAAACTATGGGCGGGCTGGGAGGGCGGGTTAGGAAATTTAAACAATGAGCGGGCGGGTTAAGGAAATTTAAAATTTTTGTTCAAAAACAAACTAAAAAAAATAATTGTTTAAATGATCTATAACAATTTTTCTTTTTTTATTGTACCAATCGTTTTTTTTAAGTGAAGACAATTTACGTAACTAGATTATGTAATAAACACAACAATAAAACTTTTTTCTTAGAATAAATAAACATTTTTGTCTATTAAAAATTTCCTTTTATAGGAATGTAATAAAACTTTCTCTTAAAATTTCCTTTTTTTGGGTTTGAAATCTGCATTGTATTATTTTATTTTAGTAATAATTGTTTATCTTTATAATTGCCCTTTTCATTTTTATTTTATTATATAATATATAAATTTTATTTTTTATAACATAATTTTTTAAAAAAAATATATTTTAATTTAATTTTTATTTTAAAATTTTATTATGAATAAACAAAATATATCTAAAAAAATAAAAAATTATTTATATAAATTAAAAGAAAATTCAAAAAATTTTCGAGAATGGGCAGGCGGGCGGGTTAAAAAAATTTTAGACTAATGGGCGGGCGGGCGGGTAAGGAATTTTAGACAAATGGGCAGGGCGAGCGGGTATATATTTTTTGAAAACTATGGGCGGGCTGGGCTAGCGGGTTAAATTTTTTTAAAACATTGGATGGATGGGCTTTTGGTCCAAAAACCCGCCCAATGCAGACCTCTATCTCATCCTCTACCAATTGTTACCTATTAAAAATTATCCCCCCCACACACCCTCCACTTCCTACTACTATACAATAATTGATTCCCTAATAAAAATTAGCAAAAGTAGGAAATCCAAATTAAAACTATCAAATAACAATAGCATCTTAATAACCACTTACCCCTCTCCAATTTCGATAAATGCTTTATACCCCTTCTCCTCGTCTAGAGTAGAAATCTCTGACATTAGCTTATGAATGTTTATTTTATATTTATAAATAATATAATATAATATATAAAATTTCTTAGGATCCGAACTAATGAAATTTTTCATATAGGGGAGTCCAGGGCTAGACGGTGCAAGGGACTGGTCGTTTCAAATAATTTTATTTTAAAACCAGTGGCATTTAAAAATTGAAATTTTGTTCTAAATAGAATTCTATAATTATTTGGGGATGAAAATAATTTACAATATTTATTTAAATTATGACATGTTTTTGACGTGAAAATTACAATATTTTCACTTAATATTTAGGTTGTATTAAAAAGTTAAACGTTTAAACATGACAAAATGAACAATATATGAAAGTTAAATATCTATTTTAATATCTGAGAAAGTTTTAGATTGATATATAATGCTTAAATATATGCTAAGATCACCACCATTGAGGTTAGTTGATTCGGGATTGTCAGCGCTATCAATCTATTAATTTTATAATATTATTACGGTACATAAATATAAAAGCAAAATCAAAATAGGAAAATTTTTACTAAAAAAGGATTATGAAGAAGCTACAAAACTGTATGAAAATGGTATCTCATTAAGAAAATATCATCTATTACAGGTTAAAATATAATATTTTATAAATGTAAATAAAATAATAATTATTCTATAAATTTATTAATGTAATTTTTCATAATACATTTCAATTTTAATATAATATCAGACCTAAATAATAATCAATCTTATCATGCTATTAAATATTGTATAGATAATGGTATAATATTTTTATCTCTTCCTCCACACTGAACTCATAAATTGCAAACCTTAGATAAGACAGTATATGGCCTTTAAAATTTTTTTATAATAATGGGTAGATTCGTGGATGCGAAATCACCGTGGGATCTCTTTTTCCCTTTATGATATTCCCTCTATTAAAAAAGGATATTT